TCAATCGTCAGCCTACTCTACACAAGATGAGTATGATGGGTCATCGTGTTAAGGTGCTTCCGTGGAGTACATTCCGCATGAATCTAAGCTGCACATCGCCGTACAATGCTGACTTTGACGGGGACGAAATGAATTTACACGTTCCACAGTCAATGGAGACACGCGCGGAGGTTGAGAACATTCATGTGACTCCACGACAGATTATTACTCCACAGGCAAATAAGCCGGTTATGGGAATTGTACAGGATACTCTGACAGCAGTCAGGAAAATGACCAAGCGTGACGTGTTTATCGAAAAGGAACAAATGATGAATCTACTCATGTTTTTGCCTAGCTGGGATGGCAAGATGCCGCAACCATGTATCCTGAAACCGAAACCGCTATGGACCGGCAAGCAGCTGTTCTCCCTTATTATACCAGGTAATGTGAACATGATACGAACGCACAGTACACATCCTGATGAAGAAGACGATGGTCCATACAAGTGGATCTCGCCGGGTGACACAAAGGTAATGGTGGAACATGGAGAACTTGTAATGGGTATTCTTTGCAAGAAGACCCTGGGTACCTCAGCTGGTTCTTTGCTTCATATTTGTATGCTCGAGTTGGGCCATGAAGTATGCGGACGCTTTTATGGCAATATTCAGACAGTTATCAACAATTGGCTATTATTAGAGGGTCATTCGATTGGTATTGGCGATACTATTGCTGATCCGCAAACATATTTGGAGATTCAGAAGGCGATCAAAAAAGCCAAAGAGGATGTGATAGAAGTAATTCAAAAGGCACACAACATGGAACTTGAACCTACGCCTGGTAACACGCTTCGTCAGACTTTCGAGAATCAAGTAAACAGGATACTGAACGATGCTCGAGACAAGACCGGAGGCTCTGCTAAAAAGTCCTTGACAGAATACAACAATTTGAAGGCCATGGTAGTGTCAGGCTCAAAGGGTTCCAATATCAACATCTCTCAAGTTATCGCTTGTGTAGGCCAACAAAATGTTGAAGGTAAACGGATACCCTTTGGTTTCCGTAAGAGAACGCTGCCACATTTCATTAAGGATGACTATGGACCAGAGTCCCGTGGTTTTGTCGAGAATTCGTATCTCGCTGGTCTCACGCCTTCCGAGTTCTACTTTCACGCAATGGGTGGTCGTGAAGGTCTTATCGATACCGCCGTAAAGACGGCTGAGACTGGTTACATTCAGCGTCGTTTAATAAAAGCTATGGAGTCGGTGATGGTGCACTATGACGGTACCGTGCGTAATTCCGTCGGTCAATTGATTCAGCTGCGTTACGGAGAGGACGGTCTCTGCGGTGAGACCGTCGAATTCCAGAATCTACCAACGATCAAGGTGAGCAACAAGGCTTTCGAGAAGAAATTCAAATTTGATCCCACCAACGAGCGATACCTACGGCGTATATTTAACGAGGACATCGTCCGAGAGATGATGGGCTCCGGTGAAGTGATATCCGAACTAGAAAGAGAATGGGAACAGTTGAACAGAGATCGCGCTGTACTCCGTGAGATTTTCCCGAGCGGAGAATCCAAAGTTGTACTGCCCTGCAATTTGCAGAGGATGATTTGGAACGTACAGAAGATATTCCACATCAATAAGCGAGCGCCGACCGATCTCAGTCCAATGAGGGTGATCCAAGGCGTAAAGAATCTTCTGGAAAAGTGTATCATTGTCGCTGGAGATGATAGACTGAGCAAACAGGCGAATGAGAACGCAACATTACTGTTCCAATGTTTAGTAAGATCGACTTTATGCACCAAGTGCGTCTCCGAGGAGTTTAGACTGTCCAGTGAGGCCTTCGAGTGGCTAATTGGAGAAATTGAGACAAGATTCCAGCAGGCTCAAGTATCACCCGGCGAGATGGTCGGCGCATTGGCGGCGCAATCTCTCGGCGAACCTGCCACTCAGATGACCCTGAATACTTTCCACTTCGCTGGTGTATCATCGAAAAACGTAACCCTTGGTGTGCCTAGATTGAAAGAAATCATCAACATTAGTAAGAAGCCGAAGGCACCGTCACTCACAGTGTTCTTGACTGGTGCTGCCGCGCGTGATGCCGAAAAAGCGAAAAACGTGCTTTGTCGACTGGAACATACAACGTTGAAAAAAGTGACGGCAAATACAGCGATATACTACGATCCAGATCCACAGAATACAGTAATTGCAGAAGATCAGGAGTTCGTCAACGTGTATTACGAGATGCCTGACTTTGATCCCATGAAAATATCACCGTGGTTGTTGCGAATCGAGCTGGATAGGAAACGAATGACTGATAAAAAGTTGACAATGGAACAGATCGCGGAAAAGATCAACGCTGGCTTTGGTGACGATTTGAATTGCATATTCAATGACGATAACGCTGAGAAGCTGGTATTGCGCATCAGAATAATGAACAGTGACGACAACAAGTTCCAGGATACGGATGAGGAGACCGTAGATAAGATGGAGGACGATATGTTCCTTCGTTGTATTGAAGCCAACATGCTTAGTGATATGACTCTACAGGTACGTTGGATTGTAAAAGCACAATACCAATTACGTTAATCTTTTGTATCTTTGCTTAATCGCTGTTGTTAATGTAGTTATGTAGAGGAAATTTGTTTTTTACATTCTATTGAATGTTTTAGGGTATCGAAGCTATCGGAAAAGTTTACATGCATCTGCCACAAACGGATTCTAAGAAACGCATTGTTATCACGGAAACTGGCGAATTCAAGGCCATCGCGGAATGGCTTTTGGAAACCGATGGGACGAGCTTGATGAAGGTGTTGAGCGAGAGAGACGTTGATCCCGTGCGGACATTCAGCAATGATATTTGCGAAATATTCCAAGTGCTCGGCATCGAAGCCGTGCGAAAGTCAGTAGAAAAAGAAATGAATGCAGTGTTACAGTTCTATGGTCTTTATGTCAACTATCGACATCTTGCCTTGCTTTGCGACGTCATGACTGCAAAGGGTCATCTTATGGCGATAACACGTCATGGAATCAATAGACAAGACACCGGTGCTTTAATGAGGTAAATGAGTCTCGCCTTTTTTTTTATTGGGATCTTTGAAAGATTTATGTATATTTTGCAATGATAGATAGAAGGTAATCGGTTAAAAGTTAATAAAAATTTGAATTTCTTTAGGTGTTCCTTCGAAGAAACTGTTGATGTATTATTGGATGCTGCGTCTCATGCAGAAGTAGATCCAATGAGAGGAGTATCCGAAAATATTATAATGGGACAACTTCCTCGAATTGGAACAGGTAATGCGCGATGTATACAGATCTTTTATAATATTATACAAGAAATATTACAAGTATATTATGCAAGTTGTATTCTAATTTCTATTCGCAAATCTATCTTGTAAAGAAATGTAAAGAAAATATTAAGATTCTCAGATCAAATTTATGGTCTGCAGAAATTTAAATAATGATACAATATCAATAACTTTATGTTGTATGTTTAGGATGCTTTGATCTATTACTGGACGCGGAGAAATGTAAGTCTGGCATCGAAATTCCTATGGCAGTTGGGGCAGGTATGATGGGAACAGCGGGAATGTTCTTTGGCAGCGTAACTGGCATGTCTAGCATGAGCCCTCAAATGACTCCTTGGATGGGAGCTACTCCTGGTTATGGTGCGTCGAATATGTCACCAGGTAAGCGTTGTGTAATAATTTCAAAATCAAGTAAAAAATCTCTTTTCGAGAAATGTATATATTAACAATTGTTAAATAATAATAACAATTGTATGCAAATAATATTAACAATTGTATTCTTTTGATTTAAAGCTTTGAGCAGTGGTATGACGCCAGGTGGTGCATGTTTCTCGCCATCGGGAGCATCGGACGCATCAGGCTTATCGCCAGCGTATTCTGCTTATTCACCACAGCCAGGCAGTCCTGGCAGTCCAGGTCCAAGTATGAGTCCATTCCCAATGTCACCTGCTGGTGCGGCATCACCCAGTTATTCTCCAACGTCGCCAGCGTATTTACCTACATCGCCTAGCATGACACCGTCGAGTCCGAATTATTCTCCTACAAGTCCAACATATTCGCCGACCAGTCCAAATTATTCACCAACATCACCAAGCTACTCTCCGACAAGTCCGAGTTATTCGCCAACCTCACCGAGTTATTCACCAACAAGTCCAAGTTACTCACCCACTTCTCCAAGTTATTCACCAACGAGTCCGAGTTACTCGCCTACTTCGCCAAGCTATTCACCGACCAGCCCGAGTTATTCGCCTACGTCACCAAGCTACTCACCAACTTCACCGAGTTACTCGCCGACGAGCCCAAGTTATTCGCCAACCTCACCGAGTTATTCCCCGACAAGTCCAAGTTATTCGCCTACGAGTCCAAGCTATTCGCCTACGAGTCCGAGTTACTCACCAACATCGCCGAGCTATTCACCAAGCTCGCCCAACTACACACCTGCTTCACCCTCATATTCGCCCACTTCACCCAGTTATTCACCAAGCTCGCCGCAATACTCGCCCGCGAGTCCAAGTTATTCTCCCAGCAGTCCCAAATATTCACCGACGAGTCCGAGTTATTCTCCTACCTCACCGTCATTTGCCGGTACATCGCCGCAATACACACCTGCGAGTCCCACATACTCGCCAACCAGTCCGACATATTCACCTACAAGTCCGTCATACTCGCCGAGTTCGCCGCAGCATACTACATCTGGCAGCACTCGATATTCACCCAGCAGTCCGAACTATTCGCCTACCAGTCCAACGTACTCGCCCACAAGTCCGCAGTACTCGCCGTCAAGTACCAAATATTCGCCCACAAGTCCTACCTACACGCCTACAAGCCCGAGTTATTCTCCGACGAGTCCGACGTACTCGCCACCTGTACCGGGATACTCGCCCACGAGTCCCACGTACTCACCGGCGTCACCTGCTTACGAGACGGACGACTAATTTTAAGTTTTTCTCGTCGTAAATTATATTTAGATACTTATTTTTTTAAATAAGTTAATTATAAGCCCGATCAATTGTAATTACGTAATTACACATAGTTGCAAATAAACTACACATTTATTAAGATGTTTCTTATGTGACCTATTTGGTACTTAAGTTGGATATAACATGATATTTTCATCATGTCAGAAATTCAAAGAAAATTAAAAAGAATGAAAAAGATAAAATTAACTAAAAATGTATAGTTGATAATTTCTCGGCTGTTAATTACAATTGATATATAGCACGCAGATTACGATGCGTTTTCGCCACTCGTATCAGGGAGGTTGTGACAAATATAATGACAAGAGCGAAGTACATGTTACGGGAAATGAGTGTTATAAGCGAATATGTTAATCGTGTGTTATAATATATATATAACAGTATCTTAGGGACCAGGGAATTTTATAAGTCACGATCGATAAAACTAATGCACTACTGAACGAGGACTACTGATGCAAGAAATGTCTAAAAATTCAGGGAGATCATTTGTATATGCATCTTTATTACAATTATTACGATTATTCTCGTAGAGCTATATCTTTAGCATCTAGTAAGCTGCACGATATCAAGACTACATTTTATTGATATTTAGTTTATTGAGTAGAATATTAAAATCTGTGATTTTTATTAAAAAAATGCGAAAATGAAAATCTTAATTTATTAAAGTGGAACTATTGCTATTGTCCATCATTAACACATTTATTTTATTACAATGATCATTTTTACTTGCTCGGAATATATCACAACGTTAATGTTTTTTATAAATAAAAATATATATAGAAAGAAATTAATAAAATCACTGACAATATCTTGAAAGTATATTGTGATGTAAATAAGGAAGCTCTTAAAAAGTGATCTAAATCGAATCAATGCGGAAATATGAATGATATAAGTGTCCAGTCGACTAAAAGTAATATATAACATCTATATTATAATTTCGCATCCAATATAAATATAATATATAATATCGCAGTTATACATTTAACAGTTATACATTTTGGTCAACTGGATGGACTTCTTGCTTTGGAAGTTCGTCCTCTTAAATTTTCACATGATATTAAAATTCAATTGAGTCTGAAATCCATGGGATAGAAAAAGAAGAATAATTATAACATTGTTGAAAGTAAAATTATATAGATCTTATATTACTCTTAGTTGATTTCAGCTGAGAGTGGTATATAATTACTTGATTTAACACTTTAACATGATTTTACTGATAAATAATTTTTAAAATAAATAATTGTGATATCAAGAACAGCAATTCCTATAAATATTAGTCAAAGTAAAGCGTAATCAAGTTCTATCTCTTTATTGTCTAGTTTGCTCTATCGACAGCTTGCTAAATACGAAAGTCATATACATTGTAGGTCTTCCTGCAGCTCTCCCATTCCAGCTAAGTCACTCGTGTTCGATATCGGTATCGGATTACTTTGGTGCTGTGGTACGGTGCGTACCGCGACGAAAACCGGTCCAGATTCTTACTACGAACATTGTCCTAGTACTGCGGCAGTGCAAGTGAGCAATATGAATCCTGCAAGTGCAACGTCGTGGAAAAATGGAAATTCGGGGCTGTCGTTGCTCTTTGCCACTCTGTGCATCATTGATATTTTCGGCGTATTCCCGATAATTGCGTTACCACGATCAATCGTCCAGTGCGGTGAGATCTCACTGCAATTTTTTATAAAGATAAGAGAAGTTTCTGATAGGCGACTACATGAAATATTTTACAAGAAAATCGAACACCCTGAAAAATCTGTGATTTTTCTCAACTATGAATTTGAAATATTTGTCAAAGTTAAAAAAGAGATTCATATGAGAAACTCTTTATAACGAAAAAGAGGCTTGGTTGATTGCGACAAGTGTTTATAACAATGTATATTTGTGATAACATTATATGTAGCGATAAGTTAATTTTAATTAATAAAGAGTATCGTGTAATGTTTATTGTTTCTTGTGTTAATCTAGCAATAAAGGCACCAGCATAAATTGTTTGTTTGTTAATATTCCTTACATTCCATTTGCGTTGATGAACCATATCTTTGGAATTAAAAAAATTATATATCTCAGAAAAATTATATAATCAGATATATATATATATATATATATATATATACATTAATCAAAAAGGATAGAAAAAATATATGTACTGATTATTAGGATTGTACGGAATCCCTTTGGTACTCGTTGTCTTTGGTTTGCAAATTTACACGGCCATTCTACTAGGGAGATCATGGATTATCGCGATTGCTCTGGATCCGCAGATTTCACAAAAAAATCGGTATTTTTATTATTTATTTCTTCCTATTAAATTTTTTAATGTTTGTCCAATAAGAATAGATTCTAAATTTCGATATTAAATTGCAGCTATCCTCTCGCCGCCGTGACGGAATTAACGATGGGACAGCGTGCACGATCCATCGTCACTCTGTTTTTGGATTTGACGGTTTTTGGTTGTAGCATCCCGAATTTGTTAGTTGGTAAGTAAAAAGGCGCCTTATAATCATATATTAACACTAAGAATAATAATTTTTATTTTGTTCTAAAATGTTCTTTGCATTTAATATTGTTAATTGAATAGATACAAAGAAGATATCCTTTTAATAAATTGTATTTTTTAATAGTAGATATTCTCTTGGACATTACGAGATAAATTCTATAATCTATATAATAACTTTACGCAAATGATTTTTAGCTTCGCAGAATTTGCACCTGTTCGGACTTAAGGTATCAGGACAGCATTTCGATCTTTCTTTTTGTTATTGGCTGTTAATAGTCGGTCTTTTACTTTGTCCATTAATGTGGCTGGGCAGTCCGCAAGACATGAAGTAAGCTAAATTGTTTTTCATTATTATAACTCATATATATCGATGCTAAGAAATTTACTAAATTATTATAGATTGGTCGCAATGTGTTCTAGTATAACAGTTACTTTAACAGCAATATTAATATGGTGGAGCATTGCAAATGACGACCGAGCATTTAATGTTACACCAATTACCTCTTCACCGACATGGGATAAATTTATTTCCGGGTACGCGCAGTTTCTGTATTACAAATACATATTTAAAATGAGTATTTTTCTTTCTTTTCACATTCAAAGTACTGTAGTAAAATAATGTATTAAATATAATTTGTTAAATTAAATGATCCATTAATTAACTAATTAATAATTACTTGGATAAATTTTTAGATATGGTATGCTAGCTTTTCAATTCGACGTGCATCCTACTTTAATGACCATACAAGTTGATATGCGTCATCCTCGAGACATTGATAAAGCCATCTTCTTTTCTTTTATGGGTAAGAAACAACGAAAATAAATCGTTTCTTGTCTTTTATTTCTATGTATATCTCGAGGAAGCCATACAATTAATTAAAAATATTTTTTCTATTTCTTCTATTTTGTTAATATAATATAAATGTAATATTAAATAATCTCAAATCTATTTTTTCAATATTGAAATAATTTTTTATGATCCCAAGCAAAACCTATTCTTTTTTGTGTAACTGCTAGTGTACTTCTCATATTAATTTCTTTTTGCAACAGCAAGCGGATCGTTGTTCATCATCACTGCTTGTTTGGCCGCATGGAAATATGGTGGCAATATAACTGCCAATATTTTGGAAGCTGTGCCATCCGGATCGGTTGCGAACATCGTTATTCTATTAGCCGCTCTTCAATTATGCTTCTCTAGCGTAATCGGCTATTCGGCGCTTTTTCAACATCTGGAAGACCAATGGAACATACAAAGAAGTATAAAAGGATCATTTATTTATTTATAAATTAATTGACTTAATTAAAGCCACAATTAATTTACCTTATTGTTATATTCAAGCTTTCGGATGGAAACGATGCGCCATGAGATCAGCGGTGGTTTTTCTCAGTGTGGTTGTAGGCGAATCGGTACCGCGATTCGACATCGTCATGGCTCTTATTGGTGGATCGTTGACCGGATCATTGGTTTTTGTTTTACCGCCTTTGATATACACCCGAGCACTAGCTTTGAAGAAACAATCGAATCATGTGATTGCCGAAGAACAGATCTATCCAGGTTCTCGCAAAAGATTCAATGGCGAAGAACAGCACTTGATGGATCCTGAAGCTCATTCCCGTTCAATTTATTATGGTTTCTTAAGTGCCACGAATAATTCTCGCAGGTATTGAATAATGGATGTTCAGAGAGACATATATTTAAATATATATATTTTTTTAATTAATTCTATATGCAAATTGAAAAATTTACTTTTTCAAATATCTTAAATCCATTCAATCTGCATTTACTGCTCCATATTGAATTTTTAACAGCTATACATATCTCTATTTCAATAATTTGGATGAGGAGACAAATTCACATTCGAGCGAATTCGACAATTATTACGAGGATGAACATAAAGACGAAGTCACTCAAATTCCAATGACTAGTACTTGTCAGGAAGATCAGCCACTTCTAGATGCCACGGAGCCAACCAGAAGTCGAATCAGGAAGTTTACGAATGATTCGCAAGAACAAACCGCAGAAACGGTTGTGAAGAGGAAAAATGTATGGAATCTGGAAAAGGCAATTAATTACTTCGACTATTTTATAGTGACGATAGGTATAGTAATCACGCTGTCTTCGACATATGTCAATATTTGGTATACCATACGTTATGTGCGTTTTACGCCACCGTGCATCATTAACGCTACATGGGATAAACCTTCATAGTTTGATTTCAACCATATAACATTTGCATTTTATCATGTAATTTATCGAGTATGAAGAATGATAATTTCGGATGTATGTATATTAAGATTAAATATTTTGTGAGTGTTAAGAATATCAAGCGATACACTGTAATTTATCATCACACACACACACACACACACACACACACACACACACACACACACAGGGTGTTTGGAAATTAGTGATAAGTTTTTCGCACAGGGGCAGAATGGATTAAACTGAGAAGAAAAGTCCTCTACCATCTGCTTCATAGAGTATAATCCTTTTCCAATCAATCTGTAATAAAATTTCAATTTGTGATTAAATTAAAAACTTAGATCTGTATTATATACGTATTAATAAGATTAAGTTTCTATTTGTCTACTCAGTGGTCAAATAATATTTAATTGTTTCAATTTTCGCTTTCTTTCGTTTACGCTTCTGTTACTCTCCCATTACATTCGACTTACACTCCGATTTTTATTTTCATCAAGGTATACGAAAGTTTGCGATCTTGCATCAAAGGTTGATGTAAAACTGTTAATATTGTTTACTTCATTATACGCACATTACTAAATTTAATATTTGTTCTCCAAAATATATAATTATCGATTAGTTGTTCAGTTATAATTAATTGTATTTCGTTTGTAGACGTGATTGTTAGAATTATTTGCATTACAATTATTAAAGTTATTAACTCTGAAATCAAATCTGCAGCTATAATTATTTGTGTAGTTAGAAGTCATTTATTAAGGCCGGTTTCACCAAGCTTAATCGTGATTATCAACTACAATTGATCGATTCTACTAAACAGCAAACGCGATTGGTCAGTCAATGGCCGATGAAGCTAATTAGCGTTGGTGAAACTGATCCTTAATGTTATAAATAAGAAGACACACTACGCAAGAGCACGAAGCTCCAAATTTGAACAGTATGCATGCATTTCTGTGAATTGATATTTTTTTCTTTATATAGCATTTTGAAATAAAATATAGAAAGATGAAATACAAATCACAAAATCACATGAACGTATCTTGCTGTTTTTTTTTGTTTGCGTTTTTCTGCGATGTAAAATTTTAATTTATGGTTTATCTTTTCAATAGACGACATATTTATCGTAAAGATAAATATAACTTTATCAAATTTGTTTGGTCATCGAATAATTTATAATGATTTACTTTTATAGTTATGTATCTTCTTCATTCCAATATTATGCTTCGCTTTTTGTCGAAACTTAAATCACTGAGTTATATTAAAAATTGCTGGTCTTGATAATGATTAAAATTGAGTGTAACCGATATGTTAATCAATTGAACTAATATATTGTATTAATAAGTGTAAGTAACAGGTGGGAACGATAAAAACAAGTAATATAAATAAAATATATGTATACACAATATGCAAAATTAGCATCTTGGCAGTTTAATTGACAAAAACTTGAAAATTTCTAAAACATTACAAGCTTATTAAACATTAGCTTATTAAACAAAGTTTAATAAGCTAGAGACGCGAAAGAGAGCATATGGTTACTCTTCGACCATTAGACTGAAATTTCAGGCATTTTGACGATTGGCAAATATTAGGTCTGCTCTTTATGGCTGAACTACTGTTCACTTGTTGCACTCAAGGCGCGTTTTCCCAAATACACCTTTTGAATGAAAGATGTATACATTTGGAGTTTTCCAGAAAATTTAGTGCAGTGCAGCGAAAAAGAATGGGTCTTTTGAAATATTCTAACACTTGTTAAATACACCGCGTATTTCATATTCTTTTTAATTGTTTCCTATTCTAATTAACATGATATTATTAGTGTAACGTTGCGGAAACATCGTAGAAATTGATAAATAATGTTGCAGTAACATTCTCGAAAAATTTAAAATATTACAATGCAACGAACACACACATCTCTCTATATCTAAAATATACATATATATATAATCTAAAATAAAAAATATACATATATATATATATATGTATACATATATACGTATACATATAATTTTAAATATCAAAATTTTAGGAATTTTATATTTATACGTGAAATATATAAAATTATTCAATTAAACTTATTTCAATTAGCTTTTCTTATGTCCGATTCTAATACTTTGAAAATTATAATATTCTTTGATAAATATCAGATTACACGTATTACGATGAAATATCAATGATATGTTGGTTTTTTAAGTACAACGTTCGATGAATTATTTGTAACACGTAATAAAAAATTACCGCATTGAACAGATTCATTTATATTTCTAGAATTAGATATATAATATGTTTTAAAATAAATGTCTTTAAAAAAAGAAAATAAGAATATAGAATTAAAAAAGCACTGCCAAAAACCTAGGCAATGCGATTTTTTATTTTTCTATGTATTTATTTTCATTTGTCCACGCTTGCAACGCAATGCTTGTATACATGAATATTCGCTTATATATCATTTACATACTCGTATATTCGCTTATATATCGTGAGAATGATGATGAATTTCGGATGAAATTCCAGGAGAGATATAAACTGGACGGTGGATGGGAAAGGTAGATTACTCTATAAGAACATATTTACAATAAGGCGCTTTATTTCTATAAACTTCTCGCTTATTTAGCATCGTATAGAAATAATCGGTACTTATTATGTGCTAGTTTGTGCGAGTTGTGGCATGGTGCGCAGATATAAATATAACAAATTTCAGTCGCGACTTATCGCTCTCCGTTCTTGTCCTGTTAACACTCATTAATCCTTGTGCCTTTTTTCGATGGGCACATCATAAGAAGAAGAAACTTCTCGAGAGAACTATTCCTTCACACGCCGTCACCATCGCCGTCGCCGTCGATGCTGATACCGTCGTCACCGGCTACCAACGGTTTGCTGCTCTTATCCCGCTTGGAGTTATGATAGAGGTAGGAGTGTACACGCAGACTGTTACTGTTCTTATATTTATTACCACAAAGCTTACACGTGAGAGTTTCAAGCGGACCATGAATATAACGGACATGTAGCTTGAGGTTTTCTTTGCGTGTGAATTGACGCATGCACCACGGGCACGCATACATGCGTATTACCTTGCCATGTTCCATACGCAACGTTGGACCCAACTCTGAAACGACACGCAGCGTTGTCTCTAATGGCAAGCTGCTACCGGAAATACCTTTAACCGTACGTCGTCCCTTAGTGCTGGAATTTGCCGTCTCATATGTTGAGTCACTTGGATAAATCGTTGTCTCATTTAAACCTACTAAAGGAGAGAATATTATTAGATATCGTATTATTATTCTTGAAAATAATATATTTAGATATGCATTCGATTTGATAAAGCTATCAAGAAATTACGTAAAGAAAATGAAAAACATGTTAAGGATATACATAAATGTAAGAGGAAAAGAGAGTGACGTATTAAATTGGTGCAAAAATCTTATATCTACAATAAAATAAAATTAAAAGCAAAATAAAGGAAATAACGGTCTCTTCTTTTTAGTTGAACTTCTTACACAGTTCATCTTCTCCCTTTTTCTTTTCACATTGACTTGTATAAAAAGTCTAAAAGTTAAAAAGAATAAGCCTAAAATTACGCGGATTTCGATTCTCTTTTTATTTCATCTAGAGAAATTTTAATTCCCTCTTTAAAGAACTTCAGTCCAGTTTTAATAGAGATTTTTGATAACGAAGCGATAAATTTTTTGCATCAATCGAATATATTTATAAGCAGTATGTACAGCAGAGATGCAATTCCTGAGATATCGGAAAAAACCGTGCAATAAAAAAACGAGATTAACTTGAAAATTTACATTTAAAGATCGATAAGAAATATAAAAAAGATAAATGATGCAATTTGTATTTTTCCAACAAAATCCATTCATTATACAATCAATTCATATTAATAACATTTAAAAATAAGTTACAAATTAGTATGGAAATGCAGTTCTGCAATTTAGAAAGAAACAAGTAGGAACATTATTAGCGAACCAATTAACAAGTATTGAGATATAAAATTAGTGTTATTTTTTTCTACATTCATTCTATAAAAAAAAATCTTGCGAATTGGTTCTTTTTTCAAACATGCTGAACGAATTGGAGAATGTGAACGACAAGCAAAATGCGACAGAAGTGTAAAACGTACCGAATGGCTGAGTTTGTGAATTCTGATTGTAGGGAACTAACTGCGTATCTGGCGCGAAATCTGTAAGATAACATCGCTTTCTCTAAACATTCATGGCCAATGAGATGAGTGCCTGGTGAATTTATGCAAAGAGAAAGAGAGAGAAAGAGAGAAAAAAAGAGAGAGAATTATAATTCGAAGAACATCGCTTGCTCGGATTTGAAACACCCATTCGCGTGAACATGCAAACGTGATATATTGCGTTGATCACAGAGACTAAATTGACTTTAACCCCCGGCGTTGTGATTTAACGAATTGATTTTGCAATGTAAACCGACCATATTCCTTGTTGAATCGTAATGCGTTAGAAATTTACAGAGAAACAATGTCGCTCGTTGGAGGGATGATAATGAGATCCAAGATGTCCACGCTAGAAATACCGGGGGTTAATTAAACAGTACGTAAAAGTGCTTAAGAGCTTGCGTCGCAATCAAACAAGTGATAATGAGTCTCAATAACAAAGTACACATCTATCCTTGGCAACACTTGAGTGTGTCAAACCTTTGGGCGCCGATACTGCTGGTACAGCAAACTTTTCTCTTTGTCGAAGGGCGTTTCAGCTCCGGATGACGTTCCGACGACGTCATTCAATCTACTGTTAGCGTTGTCTTTAAAGTACACGAGATGCCGACAGGACGGCGGGAGAATCACTACCTTGTTTCGGAGCGTTCTCGTTGCCGGCATAGAGTATTTTTTCCGCTGCATATCTGTATCCCAAATCCGTATCCGTATCCATCGTATAATCCAGCGGTTCGGGCTTGGTTGACTGTGGCTGACTAACGTCGGATGTGCAATCCAACGGCTGTTCCTCCATGCATGGCATGTCTGTGCTTCTGCTTCTCTCGCTGACCGCTGTTTGTACATCTGGGCCATCTGGGACACTGTAGTCAGCTTCTGTGCAACCTTGCCAATGACAAGTATCAGTAACAGTTGACATTTGTTCAGTAAACGGTTCTCTCGTCGAGATGTCTTCTGTTGAAGTGCTTTGCCTCGTTGTAGACTGCTCCTTTACAATGTGTGTCAGCCTGCTGAATGTAGAAACGTTTTCGTCTGTACCACCATGTTCACATCTATCTTTTTCCACTTCATAGAAACCACGATCTTCAAAATCCTCGTCATTTTTTCTAAGAGTATCTTTGAATCTCTGCAATGTAGAAATCAACTGTGTATAAAAAAATATATTTTATATAATATATTTAAACTACTACTTTCTAAATATATTTTGCTTACTTTCTAAATATATTTTACTACCTTCTAAATTTAGAGATGTACAGAAATTGTTTTAGAAAAAAAATAACATCTTTATAAATAAGCAATAACATACTTTCTCACATTCTATACATTTTAACACTAGCATTGTCCTGTAGCATTGTCCTCTATATTTTTATAAAGATAATTTCGACTGTATGACGAACCTCATTTGAATCTGTGGTCAGTCCTTTTATTTGTAGAACCTCTGCAACTTTTAAAAAGCTGGCGATGTCTTCTTGCTTGATATTGACTTCTCCTTGATACATGAAATGCAATATAGCTGACAAATCCCGATAATTGACATCTTTCAATATGACAATAGGATGTTTGCATGTGTTTCCCTGTGTACAACAAATCACGGAATCAATGAAGCCTCCACAAAAGTAGTTACAGTATTACCATTGTATCACTAAAATAATAAGGTACCTTGAAAAGTTCTCGAAAGTACGTGCTGCAGACTGACAGTATCAATTTGTGAGCCCGTAAAATTTGACCTTCAACAGCCAATGTGACGTCTACGAAATGTTCATCTGTCAGTAAAGTATATAAGCCTGAAGACAAGTTTCTTGGGAAACTGTTCCACACCAAGGAGAATTGTTCGTCAGACATTGTTCCTATGTGAAAGACACTTTGTATACTCGAGAAAAACAAGAAAGGACATTGACTAGAACTTAGAGAATTCGCAAGTGTTGCATTAGGTCACTTTTACAGCTATCTACAATGCACTGTTATTACGGTTGCTAATAAACGAACTGCATGCAGTTCATTTATATCTTAACATTTGTATCGTTTAAAAGTAAACGTTATACTTTCATAATCAGTGTATTGATATTGCCGGATGCAACATTACGTCTCTTTACCTTTGACAATTCCGTGTTTACAAACAGAAGAAGATAATGAGAATCTCCCCAACAAGAACGACAAAGTTGATAAGATCTTTCAACACCACTCTATAATACCATTCTATTAAATCGTTTATATCACAAATATTCGAAACTTTGAAATCTGATTGATCGTTCAAGCACCGTCCTCGCTTTCCTCAAGATATGGATTGCAAATACAAAACATAATCAAGACAGTTATCCTGCGCGCGAAAAGCTTGAGTTTACTTGAGTCACTTTGATGTGCGTAAATTACCGAAGCAGTGCGCCATAAATCATGCGATCTTCATTGCGCTCCGAGATGGCGACGCTGAGCGACGCGTGCAACCTCGCGCCTTCGCGCAATGGCGCCGCAATCAACAACAAACAATAATATAATGAAATAAAGATGATAAATAATATATACAATATATATCACTTATATTTTATATGACATTTTATGTATTTTATATGTGTAATTAATTATAATATATATGAATCGTATATATATAATCATACATATATATATATATATATATGCATGAGAAATATAATTATATATTTATGTGATATTTATGCCATTATATAATTTAGCTGGGTATCAATGTAATTTTCTATAAGCGTTTCATAAAATAAGCGTACATAAAATAATAAGAGAATAGTTCTTACACAATAATCGTTTAATTCTATTAATAATTCCTCTTTATATGGAATTATAATTCTTCATTCCTCCTTCAATCGTTAAATACAGAAAAATACCCCTCATGGCCTCTTGATTTCGTTAGATTTTTATTTCTTTGAATCTTCTTTAATTCAAAATGCAATAGAATGATCTGTGAATTCCTGATTTATTCCAGAAATCATATTATTTAATGTGTCAGACGATTAACGGGATGTTGCTCTGGATATCGGTGAGATGGAAGCATTTCCAGAGACCATAGCGCACCTCCCAGTCGACGAAGAATAGCTCCGGCTTGTTCCAAACAACGTGGTGCAGCGCAAAGTTGTATTGGGATTTCATGGGAGGATTCAGATGTGGAGCCCATTGCGCTCTTTCCATCACAATTCTATTCACGTAGCTATAGAAGACTTTAGCCTTGTGTATCCAGCAGATGAGGGACATAATCGAGATGATCATAGCATGTATATGATAATATACTTTCATGCGATTGTTTTGTTGTTGCAGGATGATCTCCTGTATATTCATCGCGAGGCAGACTAGAGCAGCAGCTGTAAAGCCACAGGGTACCTCAACAGCAATCAGACATATCGTGCAATATGTCGTCTCGAGATTCATCTGTGAGTCCGAGTGGCTTATTAGACTCTTTAGCAGGCTATCGTGTAGCAATTCGCGGTGCAACTTAAAGAACAATTGATCTTCTTTGCGACACTTCGCGACGCGCAGACCAAGATGCGTGTGTTCGAAGAAGATCTTGGGTGTATCGAAGATCGCTCGGTTGTCTTGGCGGTCCATTAACCACTGCAGCACTCGGTTGCCTAGTAGACTGATGAGCCGACTGGACGAGCCCACCATTCGCATCAGCAATGGAAAGATTGTCGGTGTGAGCGTCTGCTCATAAAGATCCGTCTGGTGCATATAAGCACTAAATTCCAGCAAGCTGGCGAACTCCAGAACAAATTCGTCGGTCGTGCCTGCGGCCACTGTCCATGAGCACAAGTGCTGTACAACCACTAGCATCTGATCGTTCGAGATATGTTTTATAATATTTCTTAGGCAAACTTCTAAACCCTTTTTGAGATTCGCAAGCATCGATGGCGATGATGGTGATGAAGGTGGTAAAGAAGAGGAAGAGGAAAGGGAGTTCAAACGTGCGATTATGCTAGCGTGAAAGAGCGTGAGCATCCTTTCTATTATTGCTACTGTATCCTGCGTTGCCGGCCACACATACACGTCCAAAAGCTCATATAATATCCTGATAATACCACGAGCATCCTCGATGTCAATTTCTGTTAGTGTCAATTTATTCCAAATTGAATGGATGATCAGTCCGGCAATAACAGAGTTGATATCCAGCAGACTGTATATTACTTGAAAACAAAAAGTCTCGAATTTCCAGAGTTGCTCGTGATAGATGGCTTCCATGATGGTCTCCACGACATCCCGTGATCTTTCGGGCAAGTAGCTTTTCAGTAAAGCATGATAGCAATCTCGGGCGACTCTAAACTTACGTCGACGCTTCCATAAATCGCAAAATCCATTCATGTGAAATACATTCTCGTAATATAATAGGATTCTCAGTAGACACGTGATGAGCATGCGAGGATGACGAGACTGCAACTGCTTTTTTGTTGCATTTCTAACGATAATCGTTATCTCATTCAAAGTCTTATTCTGGATCTTATCCTGCGTCGAGGAATACAAAACAGTGGACGAGAAGCTCTCAGAGATAGTCTCCATTCTCCGTGTAAGTTCTTCATCGGTGATCATTCTTAGGGTTAATTTGAAAGTTTTTAAATTTTAAAAGAACTGTGACAGCTGGAGCTCCTAAAAGATGAAATGTTAGGCATTAAAAATAGAAATATATAAAATAGAAAGCAATAGTACAAACAATATAATATATAATACATAGAACACTGAAATTTAAAAAGATATGAAATAATAAAACCAAAAGATTTTGTATGGGTTAAAATTCAACTCTCAATTTTTTGGAGGATTATAATAGAAACATGAAATTGCAGTTTATGTCATAATATTTAAAGATTCTTGCAATTCATTGTTCAGTATAATTACCAATCCACAATTTTATGTTTTTAACATAAAGCGATAAAACTGTAACTGAAAATGTCACTATTTTAATTAACATTACCTTTTCGTCTTCTTGTCGACGTATTAATGTTAAGATAACATAAGACTTATATAGATAATGTGAGATTATATAAATAATAGATTTATACAATAATATATCGTTTATAATAAATGCTATTTACAAGTATAGCGTAACAGTGTAACATAGCGATAAGTCTATAGATAGAAAAAAAACAACACTTTATTCTATATTTACAAGTTCCTATACATATATGCACATAATACGAAGAATAAACTCTAAATTCTTCAATCTTACAAGATGGATTTAAAAATTTGGGAATCTAACTATATTCGTAACCCATTGTTAAATAGACTAAATATACATTCTCGCGCGTTTCTTTAACAAAAGCAACAAAGCTTTCGCATTTAGAACCACAAATCACCGCCGACATCCTCGTCCGGTTGTGGCAGTTGTTGCTGCTGATTCTGCTGTGCTTCCTGCTTGGATGTGACGTTCTCGGCATCATCATCACTTTCGGAAACAGCCAGATCATCCTGGATCTTATTCTCTCCTTTATCATCTCTGGCTGGTAAACCGGCTAACAAGAAGTCCGACGGATCGTAATTTGGATCAACATCCATGCTCTCATCTATGAATGGAAAGTCGGAGTTTATGGAAAAAATTCAACGAAAAGTTAATACAATTCTACTTCAATTGAACAATAAAGTGTAATTAAAAATAATTGAATAAAAAGTCGTCTTATTTTTGAAGAGTCATATTTTTTCAAATTGTTTATTATATGTAAAAATATTAATAAGTTTCTCTTTAAGTTATTTATATTTTATAAAATTTCTAATTTCTTCAAAGGAGTACATCTTCAAGCGAAGCAAATCATTAGCTTAAAATTTTGTCTTACCTTGTTGAAGCAGCTGTTGCTCGCCCATATAAAAACCGACATTCCCCAACTGAACCATTGCTTCTGCGGCTTGTTGACTGTCATCATCCGCTAGTACGACACCTTCCCTGACCTCGCTTAACTCCAATGTCTCCGCTTCGTTTTGCTCGGAATGATCGTCCGTGCCGAATGGCACCTCATCAAATTCATCTTCGCTGGAGAATTGAAGATCTGTGGCAGAAAGAAAGACTATTAAACAAACTCCGAAATAAATACAAAAATAAAATTAGGATTATACTGCCTCTACCTTCTTCGAGCACATCCTTCTTTTTCGAATTCCTATCCATGTCCGTTTCCATGTCTCCTTCTACATCGACAAAATCAAAGTCATCCATATTTGATTTGCTAAATGGATTCTCTGGAGAACTGTTCTGGCTCTAAAGATAAATTTCAATGTTGAATAAAATGTAGATAAAATTAAATAATGAAATAGTAAAATATAAATTATAAATAAGAAATACATAATTAAATATTAAATATAAAAATAAGCATAATACTTACACCTCTATATTCAGGTTCCGTGATAGTGTAGTTTTCTTCATCCGGGCAAAGCCAGGAGGAATCTATGTCTGCCTGCTCCATCGCTCGTTTTTGCACGAGCAATATATTGTTCTCTAGTTGCGTCAGATGTTCATCATACTAAAACAATATTCATCATTGTCAGTAACTTTATTTCTATTTAACTTAAGAATTAACAATTTTTCTAATTACTACAAAAATAATCATACCTCATCTAATGTATCTTTACACACTTTAACCAGCAACTCCGCTTTACTTGTAAGCGGAGACTCTTTACCATTATAAATCGAGCAATTCTCCAAGATCTGTTCGATATCTCTAAGAAATTCGTGACGGCTATGATATTTGTGTGCTAAAAGGATTTTAAAAATAAATAAATAATAATTAATTTTAAGAAAAAGTAAAGTACAAGCGTATAAATCTACAGTTTTGTGTAAACATTTAAATTTCTTACCAGAAACTTTTTTAGATACTGTTTCTAGGTCCATCGGTTTCTTGACAATATTGTAATAATCCTTCACCATCTTTTTATTGACAGGTTTCATAAACGGCCATACTTCTGTCATAGATTTCAATTTATTGTTGACAACGTTATCCAGGATAAAAGTGAGAGCAACTTGATCATTGTCGTCCAGAAGAGGATTGATGGCCTTCTCCAGTCTCATCAAACGATCCTCCTTTTCACCAAGTCTCTCGACACACGTATCCAACATTCTCTTGGCAGCTACAGTCAATGAACTCTTTGCTCCGTTATAGAGCGTCGAGTTCTCCACAATCTGATTAACATCCGCCAGAAACTCCTCCCTACTTTGATATTTCTTTAGCCTCAAATTTTCACGTATAGTCTGCAGATCCATGGGCCGCTGTATGATCTTGTGATAATCAGGAACTACCTGGTATAAAAAAAAAACAGCATGGTCGATATTTGTAAAACGATGTTCTTCGATTTTCAGGATATTTTTGTTATACATATTGTATATAAATTTATAGTTATATAGTTATAAAGCTTATAGCTGAATTTTAATTTCATTTTTATTCAATTTGCAATTGGTTTTTTAGTGTTTAATTTTATGAGTTAAAATAGCGCTTACTTTAGCATTGACTGGGAATAGGAATGGTTGCACATCTGGCAGATCTCTCATTTCATTCAAAATGCTCTCCAACATTGTAGACATCACTACAACTGGATCAGTTCTACGTCTGTTAACCGGTCTTTGATGACGTTTCAAATAATCACAGTGGTCATCTGTGGGTGGTTTCCTACGTTTCTTTGAATTTACCGCTTCCTTCGGCACTTTAAGCAATAATGTACGCCTCTTCACTTCCTCGGCATGCTGAAATAAACAAGGTTTTTATCATTCTTTAGATTCTTGGACCACATTTATGAATATGGATTGAATAATTTAAATTTGGTGTTAAAAATTTTCATCAACTTACCTTGATGAGTTTTGAGGACAATTTCACCTTGGTGCCATCGACATTGACCAGATCCTGATCATCAGTATTTAGCTGCTTCTCGATTTCCTCCTCCTGTTCTTCGGTCATCGCGACATTGACTGGTGCAGTGGCGATGCTGTTCTGGTAGAGAGGACAGGCTTTGTTTGTGCGCATGTGACCGACGTTGCCACAAGCACCGCACTTAAGTTTTAGATCTGGTTTGAGTTTAGGTTTTTTACGTTTAGGAGGCGATATCTCCTGTTTAGGATGTTTGGGCGCGGGGATAGAAGAAGTAGAAGATTGGAAACAGAATGGAAGGATACTAGTTGAGGAAGTGGTAGTTGGAGTGTTAATATTATTGCGATCGAATATACTGCTCGAATTATTAATGCTGCTGCCGTTCACTATAGATGATCCACCCAACATACGCTCTCTCTCTTGGTTTCGTTTGATTCGTCGTAATTGTTCTTGAATTCTACGTTTCTCTCGCTTCATTTCTTCCTTCTGTGCCTCATCCAATGTGGCAAACTGCTTGATAAACGTCTCGTCCTTTGAGTTGCGGATCTTAATGTACGTATCAATTACGGCGGGCTTCCTCACTAACTCAACTCGTGTGTATTCCTTGCCCTCAGGATTACGGAAGGTGCGATAGATTTTTAATACACGTCCCTGCTGCGCATTGAAATTATTAACCGGGCTGTCTTCCTCCTCGTCCTTCTTTTTGCTCTCCTTGCCTTTCTTGCTTTCCTGCTCCTGCGCCTCGCCCATGAGCATCTTCCGTAGCTCATGCCGCTGTTGTTCCTCCCGTTCCAGTGAAAGCTGTGTGCTGGTCTTTTTGTTTGACAACATATTTTCGATATTCTTACCCATTTCTTCGATATCTGAGCTGTCTTCTTCCGAACTCTCGCCTTCGTCCGTGCTCAATACTTCGTTCGATGACAGCACGCGATTCTGTAAGTCAAAAATTCGTTGGCATTCCTCTTTGTAACGTTCCTGATGTTCGGCGATAGAGAAACGATTGCCGCGTGAAAACTTTGTCATGCCCTCCTCGCCAGCCTTTGCCTTCTCTGTTGATAGAGTTCGAACCACGTCGATTACTTCCCAACGCGACAACTTTTTGATCTCCTCCTCAGGTACACCAAATTTTCGCAGCAATGCTTTCGCATTGTTCAAGGACAATCTCCTTAAGTCCGCGTCTGTGCCAGTTACAGTTCTTTTTGGTTGAGCTTCTTGTTCCTCCTATACAAAATATTTTATGATTTATTCTAATCTGGATAATAACATTCTTGATAGATATATTTGTCAGAACAAACCTTGCTAATAGTCGGTTTATTCGGTACTCTAACATAACTGAAGCCTTCACCACAGCCAGTTGGATCGGCTGGACCTGCCAACTGCAGTAGACACTTTCCTTTCATGGCTTGGATGTAAGCGCGCGTCGTATTCCACGGCGCCACCTTCACCTCGTCATCCATCTTTAGCTGCATGTCTTCGTCGTCATCGTCTTGTGGAGTGAACAAAAACTTCTCTCCGTATCCAGCGTCCTTCAGACGCTGTTCGGCCGCGATCATGCTGAAATAAGCACAGCACTGCTCTGGCGACACCATAGCGCGAATCTCCTCCTCCGTTGGCAACCTGAAGTCTGGCTTTATTACCCACCAGTTGGAATCCATGCCTATTTGATATAAAAAAATGAATGATTTGAATGTACACAAGTTTGTTTAGAAATGAAATATACAACAGCAATAATATTTCTTCTTGAACAATTTTTTAGTTTTTATTGCAAAAAGAGCTAACAAACAACTTAACGATTACGCACCAGTTCTTTTAAAGTCGGCACATAGCTTTAATCTTTTTCTAATACTACTCTCACTGTGAGATGGGAAGGCCTTCTTTATGTCATCCATCTTAATTCGTCGAGGAGTATCGCGTGACTTCCAGAATAATCTATATATAAACACCTGTAGAAAATCTCGTACAAAATTGTTTGCTCTCTTTGAATTTGGTCCAGGGACTTCATAAAGCGGGCATTCTTGTCCAGCAACAAATAAGGCATCCATTTCTCTAACATAGTATTGTTGTCTGCAAAAATTATCAAATCACAAAATCAATGAAAATAATTTAAAATATCTAAATTTAAATATATAGACGAAAAAAATGCATGATTAATAAAACTAAAATACAAAAAAATAATAAAATTGATAGGCATAAAGAAATAATACAAGCGTAATTATATTAAGGCAAAGTACCTCGATCTTATGACTAAGAAATCAGTTTCAGGAATCTTATGCTCGTAAAGAGGAGCTCTATACATATTGTTTTCGATGGCTTGGATGCTTTGGCCAGGCGTAAGAATTCCAAGAAAAGGACTAGTGTGAGCGTACGCTGTCTCTCCGTATTTGTATGTCTGAGGTCCCTGATCTTTACCAGCCCTTCTTTTATAATAGTTTTTCACCTTGGAGCACATGCCGACCTGGTTCATAAGTGGTGGATGCTCTTCTGAGAATTCAACAAGCACCAACTCACCATCGCGTCCAGTTAAATCCTCGGGTGTTCTCATGAAGAATACATCACCTCCACCGGAAGCAATCCTTTCTTGCTCTCGTTGCTTAGCTTTCTTTTTTATATGCTTCAGCAAAGGCAAGACACCATGCGGTGCTGGAAGAGCCAATGGCCCATAGCTGAACCTTCGCAATGGTGGCCTGTGAAAGTTTCTCAATCTCATTGGACCCATATGCGTTTGTACAAAAGGAACACGTAGCTCCACCACTGGAGTGCTATGTTGTATCAAATTGCCACCGCCGACTTTCAGCCTCAACGTAGTTTCCGAGGACTTAGGCATGTAATATGTATCATTTGATATGTTAAACGGATCCCGGTCAGGTGACTTTGGTGGTGGTGGAGGCGTGTCTTCTTCGAGGACATTGATAACACCTGCTTTACCCAACAGTAGCTTGCTTTTCTTGACGTGCGGATGCGGGATTTTTACTTTAGGTTGCGGACCGTTGTCCTTGTGAAGAAGAGCGGGATCAATATCATCCGGTATACCTAGAACTATATTTTCGTCATTTGGATCCAACGTAAGTATTTTCGGTTTCGGTATCTTTTTCATTTGTTCGGGATCCCAAATGACTTCCTCCTCCCATAAACCATATACAAGCTCCTCGTTTTCTACTGGAAATATCGAATACCAGGTGTCGTCTTCCTCTCGCTGTGGCTGTTGATTTCCCTTGCCCATATTCATCTTATTCTTTTGAGACTGCATGTGCAATGGCGTTGTAATTTGCGAAGTGGCTAGTCTAACATTAGGTGTTACGGAGACAGAGGCACCTTTTCCAGGCTGACTAAAGGCTTGTGCTGTTCTGTTGCCGCTTGATGGCACCCATCCTGCAGCGTTATTTTTACTATTCAATTTCTGCATTACCTATAAAAAATTAATTTATTTTTTTTCTTGCAAACATATAATAATAATACTGATTACTTTATTAAGAAAATTATACCTTATGCTTTATATCGTCTCCATTCCAGACAACATCATCTTCCCAGTGCAATTGCGATACCATCAAGAATGCATCATCAGCAAAATCTTCATCTTTTCTGGTTTCTGGTTTATTTTCTTGCTCTTCCGCCTAAATTTAATGCAAAAAAATATAAATATTTTGAAGTAATTGTTCAGTTTTAATCAAATACAGTATAAGTACTAACTTTTTCAACCATCTTGAAACCATAGTTGAATCCGTCTCCAGTTTCTGGTACTTCTAACATGTCATACCACAACTGCGCGGGTCCAAATCTCCAGTCAGCCACTTTGGGTCCCATGTCACCGTTCTCTCCGCTTTCACCCGTTTTACCAGTTTGTTCCTTATCTTCTACTGGTCGCAGCAGCTTATTTTCATCATCCGAGCGACATGCTTCCGCACTCGGCTCGGGACCATATTGCATGATCCAACCCTAAAACAAACAACATAATATAATATTAATCTATTCGGAAAGTAGCAACTAGCTTTTTATAGATCCGAGAAAGATTTGCCACAAGAAGATTATACCTTAAATTTAGTTTTTTTATCATCCTGATCAGAACCAGAATCAGAATCTCTGACATCATGATGTTTTTTCTTTTTACGTCGCTTTCTTACACCCCTCCATATTTGTGGCAGACTGCTTGGCTTGCCAGGTCCGAACAGTCGCGAAAATCTAAGCACTTTATTGGCGCGGAAATCCGGAAACAATTCAGTGACATCAATATTGGCATACTTGGATGGTAACATGGAAGCGAGAGGTGTCTCTAATTTACGTTGACGCGCTGCTTCTGCTTCTTCTGCAGTCAATGTCTCCTTCTCCTCTGGTATCGGCGGTGGTGGCATCAATTGTGTATCTGATTTATTGACAATCTCCTCATCATCAGCATCATAATCTGCATTTTCCTTGTCTAGTTTCCTATCGAATCCATTACTCTTGGCTAAAAATAAATATAACTTATATGACTATAATTATTAACATTAACAGCTAATCTCCAATCTTTGTCTGTTTCTTGCTTTTTACCTATTGTATTTTATCTTCTTGATAATCATTTTATCAACAACTGTTTCTTGTCACATATTTCTTCTGAAACTTGTCAATTTTCTTACCTCAAGCAACAAAAAATAAAAAAACAGAATAAGAGGCAAAAAAGAAAAAGGTAAAAAGCAAGAAACAGAAAGTAAAGAATATATTGTAAATTAGTCTTAATATTATCAATCACATATAAGTACATCTGCATAAAATCATAGTGCAGATACTAACAGATTTCATCAATCGTATCTTCTGCCAACTCATTTATATCCGAGAAATCTAACGCGGTAGGTGATTTCGCCAAGTAATCAACATCCATGTCGTTTGTAGTTGTGTTTTGATCCTTCTCATCCACTTTGCCAGTCTCTCTTTCCTCGGCATTATTGTCATTGGACATCATCTCATTGATGAATGAACTCAGACCGAGACGACTGAGCGAAGCTAAATGTTGTTTGGCATCGGGATCCAAAATATCATCCTCCAACTGACCATTATCATCAATATTGCCAAAAAGGAAGCCAGTGATATTAAGGCCAGATGCCAAATCCTTCTCATTCTCCTCGTCGGAATCCCCCATCTTCTCTTTGTTGAGATTTTATGATTGATCCAACTTTTACAAAGTAAAGCCCATGCAAATGCCTGGCCTGGTGACATACGATAGTTTTGCAAATCAATCATGAAATCAGTAATTGCATCGTTTTTTTTATTTACAATTTGCGAAGCATTGATCTTACCTCACGTGGATTGTATCTAATACCGGTGAGTCGCACATAAATAAAACCCGGGTCAGAGTTTTGTTTATATAAATAACACTGCGACAAACCATCCAGGACAAATGGAAACCAACTAATAACCAAGAACACGACCTCGCAGATTTATCTAGACTCTGAAGCTTCGATTGTGCGAATACTAGATACGTGGAATGAATCAATTTTCTTTTTGTTGCAGCTACGACATCTGTGAAACAAGTTGAGAATGAAACTGCTCTTAGATGATATCTAGGAACTTTTTGTACATAAATATACAATATAATTATTCTAGATTCTCAAAATTTGAACAAGCAGTTCACTTCAGTACGTTTCGTCTTGGGTCTTGGCTAATCGGAACACATAGTCTTCGAAAATTGAATCATCAACAACTTACTTTAATACTGTAATTGATTTCCCAGAATTTAAGAAATATTTATAGGTTTTTTTGGTGCAGGATAGACGAGCTTTAAAAGAATAATTTCGATGGCTAACGGTAGTTACAATTTCGGATTTAACAAATAGTTTATTAAATGTCTTTGAATATTACACTAGGATAACAATCAAATTTTGTCTTCTGATGAATGTCCAACGAACTTTTTTTGAGCGCTACTTCGAAATTTAAAAAAAACTTAGAAAAAAATTCGTTGAACATTTCAGAAGCAAAGTTTAATTGTTACAATCCTAGTGTAATATTCAAAGACATTTAATAAACTGTTTGTGAATCCGAATCTATCGTTAGCTACTGAAATTATTCTTTTGAAACTCGTCTATCCTCGTCTATCCATTAAAAAATTCTATAAATACTTTCTAAATTCAAAATAAAAAATAAATTACAATACGTCCACAACATCTCAAATATATTCTAATAATGTTTTTCACTGGCAGACCTGATGCACAGACCTGATGCGCACTCAGTGGACTTTAAAACTGTTGTACACAAATCGACATAAAGATATAACGTTTAATAAAAATATTGAAACGAATTAAACCGCAAAATTCTCAATACATTTTATTGTGGTATTTGATAAAATATACATTGAGTATTTTATTAATTGAGATATCTCACTTTTACATTCAGATTAGATTAGTGTATAACAGCTTTAATGTGCGCTATAACTTTATATTTTAAACAATATTAAGAATCTTTTATTTTAGAATATGTGAGAAACACAATACTAGAAAAATGTCTATTGACGAGCAATTTAATAATTTGATGCTACCATCAAGCATCATATTATAAAGATGTTAAAATATTAAATAAATTTATTGCGAAAAATAATTAATTTAAATAATTCTAAAATTATTTAAAAGCAATGAAGATTCAGCTTTGACGGTAGGCATTTTTCTAATATTGTTTATATTTTAAAATTCACAAATTTTTATTCTTTATATTCTTCAATTGATAATTTTTAATATTTAATAGATATCTCTGATGGAATTTCTAAATAAAAAAAATTTATATCACTGAAGTTTGCGCTATTTTTGTGTACAATTGGAGTGTGGCGTTCAATTAAATTGTATTTTCACAAACACTTTAAATACATGTATTTTACAATTATGTAAAACTTACACTTAGCGAACATAATAAACTGTATTCGGAATACATTTTACATTAGCAATATTTAAATCTTGACAAAAATATATATATATATATGTTTCTTAAAGAAAAATACGAATTATCTTATAACAATCCTCCTTGCTAAGTACGCTATGCAATATGCCCTCATCAAGAATGGCGTGGAGCCGCTTGCCAAAAGTTAAAAGATTTTTTTTTCTTTACAAAAGATAACTCGCAATTTATATCGCTCATACAAAAAGTAACATGTGTGGCCATGCTGAAATTGTAATGACGGTACGGATACAAAATTTGATTTTTGTGAAACGCAAACGGAAGCCGAAATCTTATAGTCTTACTCATTAATAAAAATGTATGCCCTAAACACCATTTTCCTGTACACCCTTTACAAATATAGAAAGAGGATACCTAAAGATGAGAATGCTTTTAATCATTGCAATGTTAAATTTACGTAAAAAATCCGTGTACACAGGGAATCTTGAGATTTTTAAAGGATTTTGATGACGAGGAGTGTAATGGGTGTTCCTTTACATAACTTATTATGTTTCGCTTCTTTCTTTTTCAGCAGTAACAAAAACTCACATTTTCATATTAAACCGATTCTATTCGTATGTGTTTGTGTTAATTATTAAAACTTATAGTAAACGGCCGTTTCGATAAATAGAGACTTCAACCAACGGCACAATGCGCGGAAGCATGATCCTGTTTGACACATTGTGATTGACCACAAACACTCACAGCGGCTGATGCCTGGAGTTTTTCTGCTGCTTTACGAGCGCTATAAGTAGCTGTGGTCAATCGCGTGGTTAAACGGGCCCCACTCCAATGTGAGCCTCTAAATATAAAAAAAAATATATATATATATATTAAATATTTTTAATAAATATACATACAATTGGAAAATTAGGAAAATAAAGAAAAAATAATGAAAATTAAATTAAACTTAAACAAAATTTAAATGCTTAAATGAATCTTGTGCATTATGTGATGGATCGAAGTCTCCTGTTATGTAGAGTGGAGTAAAGATAAAAAAAATTATTAAATCATGCCTTCTGTTAAATGTAAACACTGCTGGAACGATAAATTTCATTTTGTCCATTTGTAAACGCGATGCATTGCATCTCAACACGAAAAACCACCAGTTTGCTGTTGATACACCTCTATTGTGTCTCCCTCTTCCATTTCCAGTGAGGTAGGTGTGTCTAATTCGTTTATGGGCTGTCCATCGAACCTAAATCTTACTGCTGCTATCGCCAAGCCCTATGAAGCAATAACAATATCATTAGAAATTTATTTATGAGCAATTGATTATTTTTGCATTGTAAAAATATAAAACCTATTCTACAACTGCATAAGTAAAAATTGTCTAATCATAGTCAAGTATGAGAAGAATATTCGACTGTAATTGGTTAATGTCTCCAAAAAGTTGAAATATTAAAATATTGCATCAGAAAATATTACACTTCGATACATTTTAATATATGAAAAAAATATAAATATTTTAAACATAATAAACTACAGAAAGCACTATGCATAATGCGTTAACAATTCAGCAAATAGAATATAACAATCGTCATTTTACAAAAGTATCAGAGAAATATACTTGGCATTCCATTTATGACTATATATCAGGCAAGAGAATAAGATCAAGATTGGATTGAAATTTGACGAATTCAAACTTTAATCAAGTAAAGTTCACTAAATTCGAAATTTTCTTTCTAATTGATTAAATCCTAATTTTATCTTAAGATCTGTTGGCGTTGCTTAAAAATTCCAAAAATTTTTACTTTAACTTAAAATGAGATAAATATATAATCGAAGATGTTGAGTGCAAAAGATACAAGAAATATAAACAGACCTTTAAGCAGATCATAGATTCTTGCGTAACAAATAATGCATATAATACATAAAAAAATAAACCAATTGAACTTTGGTTGATTAATGTTCTTATGTCTTATGCGACAGTCTATGCTCCCAACTTTAATCTCAATCTCTAGAGTCTCAGTCTAAGATGGGCTTTAACAGCATTCGACTTGTACTTGGCAAGTTTTGATTCTGATTCTTACTCTAAATATAATTCAATTCATAAGAGATCAATTGAAAAAATTCAACAATCGGAAGATAAATATATATGACTCTATTACAGTGTTAAAAGTATCTAAACATAAGAAAAAAACAAAATGGGGATAAAATTAGATAAATACTTACTACACGGTCACAGTATGCATTCATTAATTTCCGTAAGGGTGTATGTTTCTTAATTTTAAACTGAACTACTGCGTTGTCCTGACCCAGCACTTTCAAGTTTATGTGCTCCGACTCCGTCTTTGTTTCCTGCACGAACAAAGGACAATTGGAGTAAGTAGTGCGTGAGACGCCACAACGTATCGTAAATACTTGGCGCTTGTAGGTTAGGTGAGGAGAAGCGTTACCTTCTCGTCCGACATGATGCCGCGGTTCCGCAAGGCTGATCGGTGTTCACCGGGAGTTGCCGGGCGGTCGCGTGATCGATAACGGGATTAAACGGATGATTCGTACACTCAACTGCGTCGTAAACGATTCTGGAACGCAAACTTGCCGCGAAGTCCCGCTTCTTCTCCTCAAAACGACGTCTACAATGTCGCCATCTTGTCTGAATAACGCGCGAAACGATAGACTCGCCACAGTTTATAGATTCCAAAGGTAAACTAGTTCTAATCTAGACTAATCTAAAACCGATTGTTTCATCTTTTGGTAAATTTTATTTATTGGGTAAAGATGTCTTTTCATGCTGACGCTCGACGTTCATTGGCTTCGTTCAGCGGATTCAATAGTTGAGTGAGTGCTTGCTGTTATTGGTGTATTCTTTTAGATCGTCCAACCAAATTTTAGAAGAATACATTAATAATAACGAGCGCTCATTCAACTGTTGAGTCCGCTGAATGCAACTAATGCTTCGAAGCATTTGTAGCATCAAGTGAATTGTAGCCTCCCTAACAGCCCAAACATCAATATGTCGACTGTAAGTTGACTTTGCTAAGTCAGACCTTTAAAAACGCATAAATGAAATATATATAGCACCCTATCACGTACCGCCTATTTCTTTCGTTGACATGGATCACGATTTATGTGCGGTTAGCGGCACGGACTAGTAACAAACTCACATTATGATACACTGCTATGCACTTTTTAGAATTAATTGATTTAAATGCAATTATTAAGTAAATCTGTTAAAAAATAAGAGTATCGATAGTGTGCATGAAAATAAGTTAAAAAAAATTCATACTAATTTGTTTGTCATCCCGTGCCGCAAACCGCACGCAAATCGCGCTCCATGTAATATCGAAAGCGGTACGCGATTTCCTAGTTACTTAGTTACTATTATTAGGTGGACTGGAAAGTAATGTCGTTTTTTTTTAAATTATTTTGGCATGACTTTGAAGTAACACAACGAGCTGTTAAATGACAAACGAATATCGACATGCACAGAAACGACATTATTTTCCGGTCCATCTAATAGTTACTGTACCGTGTACCGCGTTCCATGTAATCGCACCCTGATATCCCATGCAGCGGATCGTGCGTAAGCGGATTTGCATATCGCCAATCACAGAATTATTCTCTTAGATCTGTTTGCAAATTTCGCAAGCAGATCTAAGAGAATGAAATTTTCTGTGATTGGCGATACGCGAATCCACTTACGCACGATCCGCTGCATGGGACATCATCATTTGAGTCGGAAAACCAAACAAGGGGAGATCAGAAATGCCGTAAATATTGATATTACTGATTGATGTATAATCTGGTTTATCAATTAATTCTTTTTTACAATAGTAGATAATTATCTTACAATCGATTTTTTTTCAGACGAATGACAAAACATACTAATTAAAAATTTCATCGTCAAGGATATGTTATGGTTGAAAAGATGAGTAGTGAAACTCAAATTGCAAATATCTTAAATGATATTTTGGTAAATATTAAGAAATACTGTTATTTTCTTGATAAGTGTATTCTTTTTATAATTTTGCTACATCAAAGTTTTAATTTTAATGATCAAATATATAGGATGATTTTATTTTCATACTTGTACTTTATAAATTCTAGAAAGTAGAGGCAATAGAAGAAGCGTTCAGTTGTGTTCTTGTTCATCACCCTAAGAAGGAGACTGATAAAGTAGCAGCATGGCATCAAGAATTGAGGACAGCTATGACCGGGTTGACGAAGGAGCAACAAGAAGCAGCAGTTCGCCAATTTTTATCGATAGCTGCAGCTATGACAAATCATAGACGATTACAGTTATTACTGTCGCTTCTAGAAAATTTAGTGCATTCAAATTTTTTACCTGCTAGGTACATTTTAATTAACTTGAATGCTTTTTCTCTTTCATCTCTTTGAGTCTTTGTATTATTTTCTTAATTTTTGTTATAGATTAGTATGTGAATGTATTCTAAGTTGTGATAAATTGCAATATCAATTAGAAGATTTTTGGGTCGAGTGTTTTGTTCTCATTAAACATATTCTTGGTGGAGTTGACTACAAAGGAGTTAGAGAGATCATGAAAGTAAGTTCTCAATAATTCTAACGATTTATTTTTAGTGCAATATTTATATGCATATAAAATATTAAGATATTTAAAATTCAATAAAGAATAACAGTTCAACTAATTAAATTAATAATATAGGAACCACTCAAGTTATTATGTGAGTAAAATATTTATATCAACAATCTAAATTTTGTACAGACGTTTTGACCTCTATTGGGTCATTTTTAATGTTAAATAATAATTTCAAAAAATTACCAATACTATTATTTAACATTGAAAATGATCCGATAGAGATCAAAACGTCTGTACAAAATTTAGATTGTTGATACAAATATTTTTATTCACATAATAATTTGAGTGGTTTATAGCTCTATATTATATTATTAATTTACATAAGATATTTCCTTTATAATCTTATTATATAAGATTATTGAGATAGCAATCTTTAAAAATATATGTAATATATAAATTTGTATGTATATAATATGTATATTTTTTTAAATCTACAAGCATATATATTTTCTGTTTTATGCTTAGGGATGCAAAGAAAAAGCCCAAACCATACCAGCTCGATTAGATGCATCAGTACAACCGCAACTTAAGGCTTTAGAAAATGTTATTGAATTTATTTTCGATAGAAATGCGTGCTTATTACCAGGGTATTTTATTGTTAATGAGATACAAAAAGCTTATCCTGACGGTAAAAATTGGCCTCATTGGGTAAGTAACATTAAAGTACATTAGAGTATTGAAAAGAAAAAATAAAATTGTGTGTGTGTGTGTGTATGTGTGTGTGTATGTGTATGTGTGTATAATGTAAAACGTTACATTTAACAGTTTTGTGAAAAAAGTGTCTTCTTTGCTATCTAATTCTGTTTTTTTTTTCGACATTATGCATTTTTGTTTTTTAGAAATTAGCAAAACTGCTCTCCGATTTTGTCGAAAGTTTTCGACACACTGCGCAAATGGTATCTATAGTCGGTCACTCAAAGATGTTGCCAGTGGTTGAACACACAGGATATGCAGATTATTTGATTAATCCTTGGTTGTTGGATCCTACTACATTAAAGTTTTCTTTGAAGGGAAATCTACCTTACGATCCAGATTTACTTAAGCCTCAGACAGAATTACTTAGATATGTTCTAGAGCAGCCATATAGTAGAGACATGGTCTGTTCGATGCTTGGTTTGCAGAAACAGGTAAGATAAAATTAGAGCAAAAAGAATTAATTATGGAATACAAAAATTATTGAGAGTAAGTTAAAAACAAAGTTATAATCCGGATATGTTAATAGGATAAATATTCATATTAGCTTTTTTCATAAAATTTAAAAAACAAAAAAAAGAGCTACGAGCCAAAAAATTATTTTATAAAATTAACATCGTTAATATAAAAGTTGGAATATAAGCAAAGAAATAATTATATTTTTTAGATTTAATATAACGTATTAAAACAATAAATAAACAAACGATCACGATTTTTCGACATTTCGATCACGATTGGATCATTATCAATGTTAAAAACATAATATTACAAACGATAAAAACAAAACATAATATAAATGTTTGACTGTAATTTAAATATTGACATACGACGACTTTTTCCAAATTACATTATAACTGTGAACAGGATGCTAATCGTTTTTATATTACCAGCGTAGTGTGTTAGAGAAAGCGAAGTATAAATTTATATTATGTTTTGTTTTTACATTTTTATATTATATGTTGTTATAGCTCTTTTTATTAGTTTTGCATGACTGAAATTATAGAACTATATATCAGAAGATATTTTAACTCTTTACATTTTTATTTATATGATAGCATAAGCAACGATGCGTCGTCTTGGAGGAACAACTTGTCGAACTCGTCATACTCGCGATGGAACGATCTGAAAACGAAACTCTACCAGCAGAAGGAATGGATGGAACAGTGGCCAATCATTGGGTGTGGCTGCACCTATCTTCACAACTTATTTATTTTATTCTCTTCCAATTTGCCTGTTTTCCGAGTATTGTTATGGCGATACATGATAAATTAGCGGGCAGAGAATTGAGAAAGGGTAGAGACCATTTGATGTGGGTCCTTCTACAGTTCATCTCAGGCAGCATTCAACGAAATCCATTGTCGAATTTTTTACCTGTGCTGAAACTGTATGATCTTCTCTATCCAGAAAAAGAACCTTTGCCTGTCCCAGATTATACTCAAGCTCTGTGCACTCATCAAATGGCGATAACGTGCATATGGATACATTTACTGAAAAAGGCTCAGACCGAACCCGGCACTAATATTCACAGACCCATACCGCACACATTGAAAGTCCACCATGAATTCCTGCAGCATTTAGTCATGCCAAATGCTTCTCTCTGTATGGGCTCGGATTATCGCATTGCACTTTTGTGCAACGCATACTCAACGAACCAGGAGTATTTTAGTAGGCCAATGGCTGCACTGGTGGATACCATCCTGGGTACGCAAAAGAATCAGCAACAGCAACCCTTACAGAATTTACAAAATAATGCAGCATTAGCGAATGGTCCAACAACGCCGCTTTCAATGTCTATTTTGGACTCTTTAACCGTGCACTCCAAGATGAGCTTAATTCACAGCATTGTCACGCATGTCATCAAGTTAGCACAATCAAAAAGCAACATGGCATTGGCACCAGCGTTAGTCGAAACTTACAGTAGACTGTTGGTGTACACAGAAATTGAGAGTCTCGGTATTAAAGGATTTATTAGCCAATTGTTGCCGACAGTATTTAAATCGCATGCGTGGGGAACTTTATATACATTGTTGGAAATGTTCAGCTACAGGATGCATCATATTCAACCACATTACAGGGTACAGCTGCTGTCGCATCTACACAGCCTCGCAGCGGTACCACAGACTAATCAAACGCAACTTCATTTGTGTGTCGAAAGCACTGCTTTACGACTCATTACCGGATTGGGTTCTGCAGAAGTACAACCACAGCTGTCTAGGTTCTTATCCGAACCGAAAACCCTCGTGTCTGCGGAATCAGAAGAACTTAACCGAGCATTAGTATTAACACTGGCACGATCCATGCATGTAACTGGCACTGGCGCCGACAGTCTCAGCGGTACGTGGTGCAAAGAGTTGTTGAATACCATCATGCAAAATACACCTCATTCTTGGGCTAATCATACCCTTCAGTGTTTCCCGCCAGTGTTAAGCGAGTTCTTCCAGCAGAACAGTGTGGCGAAAGAAAACAAACAACAGATAAAGAAAGCAGTCGAGGAAGAATATAGGAATTGGGCATCCATGAACAATGAAAATGATATCATTGCGCATTTCTCTGTCCCTGGTACGCCACCATTATTTCTGTGTCTTCTATGGAAAATGATACTTGAGACTGATCGCATTAGTCCAATTGTGTACAAAATTCTTGAGAGAATAGGTGCTAGAGCGCTATCGGCTCATCTCAGGAAATTCTGTGATTATCTTGTGTTTGAATTTGCTAACAGTGTGGGCGGACAGCATGTTAATAAATGTGTGGACACTATTAACGATATGATTTGGAAATACAACATAGTAACCATTGACAGACTTGTACTTTGTTTAGCTTTAAGAACTCAAGAAGGCAATGAAGCACAAGTATGTTTTTTTATCATACAATTGTTGCTATTGAAAGCGGCTGAATTTAGAAATCGTGTACAAGAGTTTGTGAAAGAGAACTCGCCAGAGCATTGGAAACAATCAAATTGGCATGAGAAGCATCTTGCTTTCCACAGAAAATTCCCAGAAAAGTTTGCACCGGAGGGTATTATGGAGCAAACTAGTGGTGGGCCCAGTCAGTATCAAAATTTGCCTGTGTACTTTGGGAATGTATGTCTTCGTTTCTTACCAGTTTTTGACATAGTAGTGCACCGATATCTGGAGATACCACCTGTTATCAAGAGTTTAGAAATATTACTGGAACATTTAGGCTGTTTGTACAAATTTCATGGTATGTTTCTAATAAAACTATCAATTTTTACTAGATGAAAAGAAAAAAAATCTTTTTCTATCATAAAATATAATATATTTTTGTGTGCGCGCGCGCGCGCGCGCGTGTGTGTGTGTGTGTGTGTGTGTGTGTATATATATTGTTTCTGAAACGAGTTACAATTTTATTACTACGCAATCTTATATTTTTTCATAAAGAAATTTTTAATTCTCCAGCTCTTATTAATTAAAACATATATGAGATGAAATGGAATCGAATCCGAGATTTTGAATATGAATCCATCATTATTCCATACAAAATGATATAAAAATAGATATGCAAATTAATTCTTAAAATTTAGTGTGAACCATATTTATTTAGTTGAAACATATTTCTCTTTTTGTTCAATAAAAATGAACCTAGAGAGAAAGTAGATTTCTTTTGACAAATTGATTAAATCTTGTTTGATTGAAGGCAATTATGATTTTCAGATCGACCTGTTACATACCTTTACAATACGTTACATTATTACGAAAAGAAGTTGCGAGATCGACCGTTGTTAAAACGTCGATTGGTATCCGCTGTTTTGGGATCATTACGGGAAATCAGAGCGCCAGGATGGGCTCTTTCTGAAGCTTATCAAATGTATATGACACGCTTTAATGACGATGCAGTCTCGTGGGTACCAGAGTTGGATTATTACATTCGACTGGTCCAAAGGATTGTAGAAAGTAAGCAATCAAAATTTTATTATATAACGATTTATATGTTTGCTTCGCTATTACAATTATGTTTCTATAAACTAAAATATACAAATCATTATTTTATTATATATAATGTTAAAACTTCTTTTGAGTGAAAATAAATCAGAATTTTGAATAAAGTTAAACGAATAATAAAATCTGTTTAGTACAATATATTAAAAATTAGGACATATAATAAGAAAAAATGCTAAATTTTTTCTCCGTATTTATTTTTACGTTTTCTTGATTTTAAAATTTTTCTTTAAACAAAAGGCAATCTATGAATTATATCAGAAGTTGTTAATTTTATTAATTTAATAGTCGTATATGTGTGTTAAAGCAATGTCTGGCACGGCTCACTTTCCTGCTACCGATTGGAGATTCAATGAATTCCCAAATCCAGCAGCGCATGCATTATATGTGACTTGCGTCGAACTCATGGCTCTTCCAGTTGCTCCAGATGCGGTGGCTAACTTCCTACTGGACGTTGTCGCTAAAGGGTATCATTTTTCCTTAAAATCTTAAAATTTGCATGTGCAAGGAGCTACAATTCTACTGTTCTAGAACAATACAACAAAAACTGTCTGTAATTTTGTATAATTTTAATTTTACTGTCTGTCCTATTCAAACACAGATATACTGTTGTGCCATCAGATGAAATACATTTATGGATAAATTGTGTTGGTTTATTACTGGCGGCGTTACCTGAATGTTATTGGTCAGCGTTGCACAAACGTTTACTGGAGACTATCAGCAGCCCCGGCTTGGTCAATTGGCAATACAATAACTTGACCCCATTTCAAATGTTTAACTTCAATATTACGCATAATAGCCTATTAGAAAACAAGTATAGCTACATGCTTGCACTAGCGCATTCCGTGTGGCATCATGCAGGTGTAGGACAAATTACAACGATGCCTCAGTAAGTTGTAATTATGAATATATATTTGTAAATAATATAAATTATAATATACAATATACATAGTATAATTTTGTATACCATAAAAGAAAATTGAGGCAAAATTGGCACTTAAAAATAGAAATTTTATTATATTTAATATTTATTTTGTCTTATTTTGTTATAAATTAATAATAAATAATTGGCCTTTATAGATTTATCAAGGAGAAACTTCAGCCAGTTGTAAGCAGCGAGGAACAGTTAATATACGCCTGTCATCTAATCGGCCCTACTTTGGCGAGGTTTAATGCGGAGCGACCGCACTGTGTGGTCGAACTCGCAGTCTGTCTATACGAAATGCTGGAACGAGTTGATCACACTCAAACTACCTTGAATTACATGGATTCAATTTGCGATTTACTGTATCCTTTATATTATACGACTAAGCCTTTTTTTTTAATTTGGAAACAATTTTTTAAAATTATTTTATTTTTAATCTATCACCAGAAGATTAAATGTTAAATACAAAGATATAAATTCGAATAGCTTATAGAAATTAATTTGAGAGTATCTTATTCTTTAATGTATTTATTGACTTTTATATTTTTGCCTTAATAATAGCGACAGATATCATATCAAATACATGTTCGTTGGTGATATGACTAAAAATGAAGTGGAATGTATTATACGAAGACTAAGGCCGGCATTACAGATGAGATTGCGTTTTATCGCTCATATAAACATTGACGAGATCCATACATCCTAAGACATAACTACTTAGACACATCGTGATGTGTAATTTAGCTTCTTGGAACCAGGGAATGGAAGTAACTCGTTATTTGTACAAATTACTTTTTTGTAAACTTATCGATAACTGCGTTTTTTCTTTGATAATTGTGATGGTAACACATGGTTACATTTTTTTTTTATAACAGTAACAAATTTTACAGTTACTTTTATCTTTACTTTGTACACGATTAGACTATATAAAAAATAATGGTATTTTTGATGAAATTACATAGAATTCATGAAAAAACATATAGTTATTTCAATGTAACATCAATATATAGTTATTTGAATGACAGATATTTTATATTTAAAAGCTAAATAAGGTATTATTAATACAGATGATACTTTATAAGCATAATAGATATTGTTTTGTTGCATATTATTATAACTGTGCTCTATATTTCAGTTATTTTGTATTCTATTTTAATTATTTTGAAATAATATTCTAATATAATATTAATTCAAGTAATTAGAAATTCGATGAACGCTATTCGATTACTCACTAATTTAAATTTAGAATATGTATTACAATCATATACAACAAAAACAGTCAATTAGTAAAATATTATTTATAATTATTATATATATTATATATTATATATATATATTATATTAATAATTATATAGAATACTTATTTGAATGATATTTTATACTGTACTTCAATTTTTTTAAATAAAATATCATTCAAATAGTGAAAGGTAAGGTATATTTATAGCCACCGACATTATACAATATTATCATTATATACTATATATTTTAACTTTGGTAACTATTTTTACATAGAAATCTTAGGACAAGTGTAAAAACTAAATTCTGAAACAATAGTGCAGCGTCAAAATCATGAAATGCAAGAAAATATCCGAGTAAAAAACTATCAAAGCCGAAAGAAAAAAAATTATTATTTTTCAAATTTTTTATTCTAAAATTTTAGGATTTTTCCGTTGTTTACATTGGACACAAACCATAGCGCTCGAGACTAAAAAGTCTCTAGGCTGCTGTGATAGATAGTCGTCAATTTTAAAAAAGTAATAAAAGTAACGGAAATTAATGAAAAGTTACTTTCTCAAGTAACGGTAATTGTAACGAATTACTTTTAAAAGTCGGTAACTAGTAACGGTAACTTGTTACTTTTTCTACTCGAGTAACTACTTACTTTTAAAAAGTAATCTTCCATTCCCTACTCGGAACAGATGCCAGTTGTTCCGAAGTGCACAATTATTAATTAAATAGGCATATAAATAGACAGTAGACGTAAAAAATAAACTTTCTTTTTTTATTTTTTACAAAATAATATTTCTCATACTTTGATATCTTGAGAGCATATTCAAATAAAAAAATAGTTTAAAGTTCCATAATTGCGTGCTGCTCCTTTTATTAATAATTGTTGATATTCTCGTATATATATAGCAGATAGTGCTATCGCATAGTGCTATAAGATATATTATCAGTGCTATTATCTTCATTTTTGTAGTATCCCAAGTAGCACACAGGACTTATGAAGCGTTAACAAGCGCTAAAAAAAGTGCATATTATCGCTTTGCTGTGCTACTTGAAAGGTTTGATAAATGATAGCACTGACAGTACAGTCTTAATCATTAAGATTTGGCATCTGTGCAGTATCTTAAAGATTCTTAGAAGAAAATTCTTAGATAAAAATCCAGAAGAAGGATTGTCCAGATGAATTCCTTACATCTAGCAGACGGTGAGTAATATGATCAATTAAGTCTGTGCTGTGAAAGGAAGTTTTACAAAAGGTAAATGCTTATGGAAATTCAGTAGAATGTCTATAATATGTACATCGCATAGTGTCATCAATGGAGACGATGTTATATCAATTCTTCTCTAAGAATACTTTATTTTAGATTCCGAGAAACCAGCGGAAGTGAAAGATCGGGCGCGTCTATACAGCATGGTGTTTTGCCCTTTTGTTATGAGAATACATCATGTACTCAGTCTGAAGCAGATTCCATACGATATTGTCAATATCAATTTACAGAAAAAGCCGCAGTGGTTTCTTCAAGTACGCATTGAGTCATTTTTAAAACAATAACTTAACATTATGTTAAAATCGAAAGAGATGCGGATTTGGATGCGGATTTTATTACTTGCGTGTACGGAAATATTTTTTTTCAGATTAATCCAGTTGGCAAGGTACCGGTTTATGTAGATTCGGACGGTACAGTAGTAATGGAATCTGTCACAGTGGCGAACTATCTGGACGAGAAATACCCTGAACCTCCTTTGTACAATGAAGAAACAAAAAGTCGTGATTTGGAACTGATAGATGATTTATCTAAGGTGTTCATAACGATGTTGAGATTTCTCCTCCTCTTCCTTAAAAATGATCCTTTAATAATTGTGTCATGTTTTTACAGATTGTAGATATTATTACGAATATCTTATATGAGAAGGATAAGAGACAATTCGAAGAGATTCACACCGAGATAATGGATAACTTACAAAAATATGAAGATGAGCTTAATGTACGCAAGACAATCTTTTTCGGAGGTTTGTAAAAATCTCTCTTCCTATTTCTTTTCTACTTTTCTCTTTTTCTCTTTATACATCCTTTCTTATAATATTGTTAAAAAATTATTTTTTCATTTGTTCTTGACTGAAATAAGTATATTTATCGGCATAAAATTGTATTTTTTTATTTTAGGGAGCAATCCGGGTATGTTAGACATTCTAATGTGGTCTTGGTTTGATGTTGGAAAGGCTCTAACTCTACTTCACAAACAGTATGCAAGTGTTGACAGATACAAGAAGAAATTTCCCCATATGGTAAAGTAAATAATAAAAAGTGTACAACAACAGCATTTTTTAAATTTATCAACTCTTAAAAATTTTGAAATTTTAAGACCTATTGACATGTATATGTAGAACATTTCTTCAAAACTCATTTAAGTGCATTAACTATACATATTTATAAAAATATAATTATTTAACATGTGTAAATATCATTTTTTATATATAGATATATATAATGTTTAATATTGTATAAATATCGTTTGTAAAAATAATTCTCTTTTATTTTATATTTATATGTAGCGCATAATTTGAGTTTGCAATAAATTTTATTTCATTGAATTTCATTTACATTTAAAAAAATTAATAATTTATTAATCACCGTCCATTTTCTTTCAGGTGAAATGGGTAGAGGGAATGAAAATCCAGCCGTTTGTTCTAAAATATAGGAGTTCGTATAAAAAATTAGCAAAATTCTTCGAAGCTCGAAGAGCGAACAATGTTGATTACGATAATATTTAACGTGATTTGAAGTTATTAGCTTGTTTCTATAAATAAGTTTACATCAAAATAATATGTTGATAGTATTTTTCTTTTATTAAGTTCTTATATACATTCTTATATTCCAATAGAACCAAAAACAAATATAATATATGAATATATTTATAGTAAATGTAATATAAATATAAATAAACCGCACAATCTTCAGTATATCTTCAGTACATTTTATTGTGCTTCAATACATTTTGTTTTGCAAAATATATATTAGATGCTTTATCATTCGAGATATTTGCATTTTTATACCTAGAGTAGTTTGTATATACAATGACTTCAAAATGAGACTGGATTGGGACCAATTAGAAAAAAAATAAAATAAACTAAACTTATACTAAAAGATTGATAGCATATTTTAGATATTTCAGTTCATAGATTTTAGTTTTTTATAAAAATGAATTTCTTGAATTGTAATATCTCGAATACGTATCCGAGTAAGAAAATAAATTTTATATTATTCACATATTGTTCCTTTTATCAATAATCACCGACATATATCCTTCTATACACCTGTGTGCGTGGGCGTGGGAGATGGCGCCAGGTGAGGCGTTATCGTCCAATAAGACTTTCAACATTTGTCATTCCCTGTCATTGAGGATAAGCATCCACGCTAATCCACGCCGCAGTCGCCGCACCTTAACGATCCACATACAAGACCGTTCATCTGTGAACGGATTATTCAAATGAGTTCCTTACATCTAGCAGATGGTAAGTAATGTGACAGTCGAATCTATACTGAAAAGAATTCCTTTACAATGGTATATGTTTATAGAAACCCGGTAATATTTGAGCAAAGTCATGTGTACCGTCTAGTATCATCGTTAGAGACTCGCATTATGTTGAGTTTTTCTGAAGAGAAAACTGAACTTTTGTTTTAGGCTCCGAGAAGCCAGCGGAAGTGGAAGGTCAGGCGCGTCTGTATAGCATGGTATATTGTCCCTTCGCTCATAGAATACGCCTCGTGCTGAGTCTAAAGCAGGTCCCACACGACATTGTCAATATCAACTTGCAGAGCAAACCGCAGTGGTTTCTCGAAGTATGCATCGAGTTATTTTCACAGAGATAACTCAATGTGATTTGAATCTAATGAGTTTTGAAAGAATGACAAGTATCGACAAGTTTGGATGTATTCTTATATACGAAAATATTTTTTTAGATTCATCCGGATGGCAAAGTACCAATTTATATAGATTCGGATGGTACAATAATAACAGATTCTGTCGCAGTGGCGAACTATATAGATGAGAAGTATCCTGAGCCTCCTCTATACAACGATGAGACAAAGAGTCGTGATTTAGAGCTGTTAGATCACTTCTCTAAGGTACTTATAACGACGTTGAGATCTGATCTTTTCCTGTTCTTAATATAATGTTTTAATAATTACGTATTGTTCATAGATTATGGATACTTTTGCAAATTGCATATTTGGCAAAGACAAGAGACAGTTTGAAGAGATTCTCATTGAGGTAACGGATGATTTACAAGAATTTGAAGACGAGCTTAATGTACGCAAAACAACCTTTTTCGGGGGTTTGTATAAATCTACTGTATATTTTCTTTTTCTCTCTTTATATATTTTAACATTATTAATAAGTCACAATCACTTATTGACTGAATAATAAGCAAATATAATCTTTATTATTATAAGAATTGTATCTTTTTGTTTTAGGGAGTAATCCAAATATGTTAGACGTTCTAATATGGCCTTGGTTTGAACGTGCAAAAGCTCTGACTATACTTTATAAACAGCGTGCAAGTCTTGACAAGGAGAGATTTCCCCGTATTGTAAGCAAAAAATAGTATATCCAGTAACATTTTCAAATTTGTCAACTTAATTATGAACATTTTGAAGATTTATTCATTTAGCAATTTTCTCAACACTCATTTAAATTCATTAATATATATATATTTATAACAAAATATATTAATTATAATATTTTCTTGTTTATTTACAGAACTTGTATTTGAATTTGTAGTGGATTTTTTATCATTTATATTCTAGAAAAATAATTATTGATTAATTGCGTCCATTTTGTTTCAGATGGAATGGGTAGATGGAATGAAAGATCAGTCATTCGTTCTAAAACACAGAGGCTCGTATGAAAAGTTTGCAAAATTCGTAGAAACTGTAAGAACAGGAAGTGTTGATTATGACAATCTTTAAATGTATTTGCAATACTATAACAAAAGCAATGCTGCAAAGATGAATACAAAATAGTTTGGCAAAAATTAACATATTAACATCAGTATTAACATTTATATTGTAGTATGTGATATTTGACTTACATGTATTAATTCTTTGTGTTGTATGTGTTAAATTTTTTGTGTGATATTTTTTTATATTATATTTTTTATGTGACATTTTTATATGTTTTTAATTGTTTATTTATTTTTATATGTTAAATTTAATACATATTTTAATTTTTTTTAATATGTGCCATATGACTACACTATTGTAATGTAATATTTTAATCCTTCATTTATTTATAGCTATGTAGTACAAAATAAGTCTATATAACAAATGGCCTGTACTTCGACATTAAATATAAGCATTCTAACATTAAGTGTGTAATTAAGTGTAATATTAAACATAATTATTCTGCATTTTAACAGGGCACTAACTGAATATGTAGCTGTATATTATAATTGTTGCAATTATTGTTATTATAAAGCAAATCAACATTTATATAATGTGTTAATCTCTTGCTATTAATTTTTTAGTAACACAAAATCTTCATTTTCTTATGTAATTCTTTAATTTTTGTGATAATTTATTGTGATAATTTTTGTTTTCGTATTTTGTTTTTATACAATATCGTCTTAAAATTTTGAATGGTTAAAATACACATATTTATATAATTTATATTTGAATACATAGAAGTAATATATAAGAATCGAATTTCTAAATTAAATAATAAATCCATTGTTTGCCCCTTTCTTACTTATATTATTAAGTATAGGTACTTATTTTATTAAAACTTACTGTCTTATTTAAAATAAAAAAATTAAAAGATTATGGAATGGATCATCTCATCAATCAAATGTTTTCAGTTAAAACATGTTTAATAGATCTAGTACAAACTGTTTTTGCGACAAATACGAACAATTCAAGAGCGAGCAATCAGCATATATGACATATTTCCTCTCTGCAGTTTCGTTCAACCAAAATATAGTGCCTAAAGATATTTTCAACGTACAAACTTATTTTTGCTATATCGATGGCATTACCAACAAAAATGAATTTGCCAGAAATTCAAAGATATTTGATATACATATATCACAGATTTTATTCCTATCGTACATATGTTACTTTTATATATTATATTTTCCAGCACCATAACAACAATATGTAATATTTTGTTAATATTTTATTAACAGCATCGAGCAACATATCGTATTACCGTTAATAATTTATTGCATTACATAGTTGCTTATTATATGTAAATCCAATTTTTGTTGCTAACGTTATTATCGTAGACCATCGATCTATTTGTTTATGCGCTCCTTATTTTACTTATTATACAATTCCTTATAATTTATTATAAATATAAATTGGTGTAGATCTTTACAATTCGTTGTAATTGTGATACCTCACAAGCCATCACTATAGTCGCTTCAAATCGACACAATTGGCTATAATTTGTTATGTCATTAACAAATTTTTTCACAGCATTTACGGGCGGATAACAATTTTTTGAAATCTAATTTTAATAATTTTTTTTTTATCAATTTTACAGGAACTACAAAAAACAAAAAGCATGTACTACGCATTTTCTTCTTATCCTATGTAATAATGTTAAAAAAGCAACAATTATCTTTGAACAGATTTATATTCTGAAGCTTATTAGCAATTTTGAAAGCCCAAAAGTTAACTCATTAACAGTTAACATCACATTTTTAAGATAAAATTTAAGCCCACTGAATAATATAATTTTTTAATTATTTCAATTTTTTATCTTTTCAAAAATAATTTTTATTAATATTGTTGTGTATTAAATCAATAACAATATATTTTATTTTATTTTATTTTAGAATTTACTTGTACTATATTTTTAGATCCTCCACAGCTTCAAAAAACGAACGAGTGCCAGAACATACTTTACTTTCTTTTATCTTAAATCTAATTTATAAGGCAAGAATTCATGAAGGGAATTTTTCAAGTGTAAGATCAACAAGAATTATTTAATAATTCTAGAATTAAGCTGATACTTTTTTCAAAGAAAGGAAAATTGTAATATTAAACTGTTTATATTGCAATTATGGCCTTTTATGAATTAAGTGTTATTATAGTCTAGTTTTCACATAAAAAGGGGCAAATGTCTATCCCTGTAGCATTAATTCTTGCTGCGAAATATGATCCTGAAGTGATCTTACGATATTGTAATTGTGAAATAAAATAAAGCGAAGTATATATAAGAACAGCCTGCTACACAATCGATATATATTTCGTATATCGACCAACGTGTTACTATCACCAAACAGTGCATTTATTCGGGGGATTCATTTTTGTTCCGAGTGGACAGCGAAACGCCTCTACGAATGCCTGAGAATTCATCATTACACTGTTGACTCTGGAAATCAATCATCGTGCGTGTAATCTATCGTTATACTTTACTATGACTGAGTAAATTTTGCACAAATCAGAAAAAATAAAAAAAATATCCAGTACCTTTCAGGATGAGAAGCGTGATAGTCGAATTCAACGGAGAAGACGTAGGCCTCGAGAGTCGTATTAACACAGTATACCTAAAAACACAATGGTATTAATACAATACATTACTTTAACATAAAGTTAATATAAAAAAAAAACAAAAAGATAATGGATAATCTCTTAATTATCTTTGAACACGTTAATTCTTTTGTCACTTCGATAAATATACTTATACTAATGATATAACAAATTTTATTAATGTAAAGAATAAAAATAAATATAATAAATAGAAATTATATTACACACATATATTATACATTATATATAAATAATAATATAAAACAGCTTTAAGATTAGATCCATTTAATTAACAAAGAAGTATAAAAACTAACGTTAGAAAATATTGAAGATGACCCAATAAAGATCGGAACATTTATCATAGTTATTTTGACAAATAAATGTATTATATATAAAGATATTATTTGCAAAGTGAATTACTTTGATAAAAAATTTTCTCATAGTTTTTATCAGTACAAAATTACCTTTTTAAAAAAAGTAAAAAAAAAGTGTTAAGAAAACGTGCTTCTCGAATAAACCTAAGTATCCAACCCAATTAATAATAGTTTTAATTTTTCTTCAAAGATATTCTTTACTGAAGATCTTTTTATTTCGACTCTCAAGTAACATTAATTCTCTGTCAAAAATTATTATACTTCTCGAAAAAAACTAATGTATCAAATGAAAATTCAGATGCTACAGTTTTAACTAATCAAGGTAAAAGGTCTATTAAATTAAAAACTAATTTTTATACGAATTGGAACATTTTTCAGAAATACTCAGAAAGTTTACATCTTCCCTCAGAATTTTTCATACAGATGAATTCTGAAATATTGTCTTTGCTTTGTACATTCCCATGTTTGGTTTTCCTATTATTGGGTCACTGCAATACCATGCATATCAAATTTAGCTTTAGAAAGCCTCTTCGGGGAATAAAGTGCTTATGTTTTGCATTTGTAGTTTGCTTATGTAGTTTGCATTCTTATTCCTTAGAGTGTGTCAACACTCGAGAAGACCTACAGTTTAACGCCGAATTCGAACAGCAAATGTGAAAAATCATGTATATGGGGCGCAGGTCGCGCAGATGGGATTGAACTCGGATTCACAGATCACGAGTCAATCGCACTGAGTGGCATTCAATGCTCCAATTCTGAAATATTCTAAAATTTTTATTCCATAATTTTTAAAAAATATTTTTAAATTTTTTAGATTTAATAATATTTCATCAGAAATTATACTTACAAAAAATCTTAAAAATCTATCTTACGATATTTCATAATTAATGTATATGAAAAACTCTGAGAAAAGATGTAAATTTTTTGAGAAATGTTCCAATTCGTATAAAAAATGTGAGAAAGTTATGAAATTATAGAGAAATTCTGAAAAATTATATGAAAAATTCTGAGAAAAATTTTCATATAATTTTTCACCAAGACAGCATTGACTTTTATGCTTCTTTATTAATTAAATTGTACTATATGTATATGTAATGATTTTTATATGATGATTTTATATGATTACAGATTAGTTTGTTGCAAAATTATAGAATAATGAGAAAATCGAAAAAAAAAAATTTGAAGAAAAAAAAAGGAGTTACCTGTGCGGCACTTATGAAGAAGAGCTGACTCGGTCGGAGTCCCTCCAATCCGGGAAGGCTCCGATCCTTCCCGTTTGTCAAAATGTGCCAAGTCTTGTGGGCAATTTGCAGAGCACCAATATCCGCGACGTTCTCGTTTTTTGTCATGTTCCAATCAAACTGTGCGACAAAATTAAGGGTGAAAAAAGAGGAACAATGTTCCTGTTCTCATTAATTCGAGAGATTCGTGAGCATTCTTAGCGATGTCGATTCGAATTAATAATTTCAGTCATTTCTCACTGATCTTAAGTTTCATCTCACACTTACCTGCACAGCAACGTCATTCCCATAAGATTGGACCTTCCGCCAAAAGCTCCTGGCGTAAAGTCGCGCGACACATTCTATTTTGGTCTCCAATCGTTTCCAAGAGTCTGCCGTGACGCGAAGCCATTCGTCGATGTTCCGATCTGACTCCATGGGCAGTTTACGGCGATGAAAATCGAAAGCATGGAGAATCTCGTGGGCGATGACCGATCCTAACGTAGCGTGTACAGCAAAAGCTGGACCACCGTCCCACGACCATGCCCAGGATGTCATCATCGCCAATGGGATTTCTATATTTTTAACAAGAATAACTTAATTTATTCAAATTGCTCGATGTCAGTTTTGCTTGCATATATATAATACTTACCGATGGTATTTGTGGAGGATTCGTAATAGGCATTCACGGAGTAAGGGTAGTGATTCCTAAAAGCATAATAATCTACAATTTAGGAGGATTTCAAAGGGAATAAAATTTTTTTCTTTTTTATATATTAAAGATCTAATTGATTAAGAACTGTAATAAATTTATAATACAAAATTCATAAACACAGAAAAATATAATATAAGATTTATAAAAAACAAAACAGAAGAAATGGCACAAAAGAGAGATAGTACTGTTTGATATATTAGTTAAGCTTTTATTTCTTGATTTATGGACTTCTAGGTAAAGGGCTAATAAATTTTTCTCACCTCATTATCGCGTTTTTTCGTAACGGGCTTTGATCTTTTGATCTTTGGAGTTGACGGAATCTGTTCAGGACGGTGGTAATAAAATCATCCGAGTCGATTACAACCTACGAGATAATGCTATTTAAAAATACTAATAAAAGAAAGAAGGTAGAGACAATTTCAAAGTTTACGTCGTCTCTTCATTAATAAATAAATTTATGAAAGAGAAGAATCTATTTCTTCTATTTTAATCGCGTTCAATATTTATGTATCCGTATATTCCTGGTAAAAATTTTTCTTAGAATTTTTCATATAATTTTTATAACTTTTTAGAAAATTTGTCACATTTTTTAATAATTTCTGAAGGAATTGGAACACTTTTTAAAAGTTTTTTAAGACAATGTTTTAGTCACATTTTTTCTAATATTCTTCATATATTATATATGAATTCTAAAATATTACTTTCTAAAATTTTTCATTTTTATAATTTCTGAAAGAAACTTATAAAATCTAAGAAAGTTTAAAGTATTTTTTAAAAAATCTTCATATAAATTTGAAAATATGATAGATTTTTAAAAATATTATGAGATATGAGAATTTTTTCCACCACAGAGAGAGAGATGAAAAAAGATAATTATCTTACCTCGGCCATTTCACGCGTTAGCAAGGAGTCGTTGTAAAAATCTGGCGACACATGAAATCGACCTTGTAAGGAATTTAACTTCTGCAATGCTTGCGTCCTGGTTTCATCGTCCAACCACGATTTCACTAATATCCGCTCGGCTATCGTTTCCTTCACGCGTTCAAACAGCGCGGTCACCTGCAGTTACATAGAAAGTAATTATTATCAAATTAAGACAAAAGTTTACACGACAAAGATCAACTCTTTAACATTTGATCACTCCAAAAAAATATGGATTATGCGATACACATATGCGAAATCGTGCAACGTTCAAAAGATGGATAATCATGTTTATTCGTGTTTCAAATTCGTGTTAAATTTATTAAACGATCAGTTAAAGAGTTAATCGATAGACGAAAAGTATTACCCTGTTGACCAGAGTTTCTAAGTACTTTGGAGTGTACTGTCGCACGTAGAGCACACTGACCGCCTCGCTGAAGATGCTTTTGGTCAGTCTGTAGCAGGAGTCTTCCCAATCTTTGACGGCGGTGACGTTTATGATGTCGTGCAATGTATCCGCATAGAGCAACAGCAGTCCGTTATGAATAATCCTTCGTGATTTATTATAATTAAATATTAATCAATATTAGGTATACATGTATTCTTCGTAATTATTATTACAATCATGATTAGATAATCGATATATAAGCCTAGGTTTCGAATAATTAAACCATATAGTTATAATATAATATAATATTAATATAAATAAGTAAGAAAATGAGTAGAAAAATTATATTAATGTAATATAATTAATGTAACATAATTTATAATAATTTATATTATTATAAATTATATAACAATTATATTATTATATTATATACATAATTACATGTAATTATATTACATTTTAAAATTATATTAATTAATGCAATATAATTTTTAATAATTTACATTATTATAAATTATATAAAAATTATATTACATTAATTAAGATATATTACAATGTATATATGATTAATATATGATTAGCAATACTATATACTCTATTAATGTACAATAGAATATCAATTTCTTTGTTCCGTCCCGTCTATAGAATCGATCCTTTCCAAATTGACATCTCGTTATCGACAACTTATCCAATTGGATTTCCAAAGAGAAAGCTTAGGCAAAGGATTTGGTTTCGCAAATTATGCAATGCGCGCAAATTGTCATAAAATGGATATGGAAAATCCGTACCGTCTGGAGGAGCGACTCAATAGCTTGCCAAGGCTGCGAAAGTAACGCGGTGCCGTAATGTAGACATAAATCTGCTGGTCCTCGGATGCGACGTACGTCGGCGGTCGTTGTACGCTATTCGTGTCATTATTACCGCCGTTTAGATCGACGCCGTTTACACGGTAGGGTAACGTAGCGTTCAGTAGCGATCTCCATCTTATCTGTCCCAAGATCGTCAAATAATTCTCTTATTTTAAGAGAAGGAAGATCGAGAGATCAATTGAGAGATCAATTGAGAGAAGAGAGGAAAATTAATTGATGATTAAAAGACTGGGAAAATAAATAAGAGGCTATTGTGATCCAAAGCATAGAGTAATCCAATTAAATGACTCTAGTAGCACAATTTATTGGCCAATATATTCCTAATATATGCCAATGTTTAACCAATGTAATGCCAATAAATTGTGCTTCTCAGAAGGGAGTCAATATGATTTTAATTAGATTTAAAACTTCGGACCATCATTTTCAATTGGCTCTTATCAATTCTTAAAAGGGAATAACATATACTTGGGTGACATACTCAACTAATTCGATTACTTAAGCAATAAAAAATTGTTTACAATATGTGTTTATTTTTACGAAATTTATAACTAATTAACAATTTTTTTTCGACCAAAATACTAAATATTAAGGAATTAATATATAACGATATAATTAAATAAATGATGTATTTTTATTAATAAAAAAAATTAAGCAATGGAAAAAATATTGAAAAAGCATTGGAAAAAGAAAGTATGCTACACTCAAGTGGCAAGCAAAGGGATATCTATTGTTTATGACAGAATTGCTGTCGGGTCTGTTTCACTAACGATCGCACGTAGCGGAATTTCGTGTAGTTCGCGGTTAAAAGAGCCCCGTATTAAGTTGATACTTACATAACCAAAGTTTTCTTGGAGATAAGTAACGTTGTAAGCGACGTATACCCTCTGTTCAACGTCCACCCAATTGTACAAATCTTTGTGCTTTGGATAAATCTGACATAATGCAGTTTATTCGCTGTTTAATTCGCATAAAACGGTGGCGATAAACCCTTACCTTTTCAAGCGATAAGCAAAATTGCAAAAGCAGATCCGTTTCCGACGATCGTTCCTCAGGATCCATATTTTTTGGCAAGAACCCTTGGACAATCTCTCGAATTCTACGCGATCTTTGTACGTCTCTGTTTTTCTGGAAAAATATCGCGGCGTATTTACAAGATTCAAAAAAAAAAAGAAACGTCTTAAAAGCGCTCAAGAATTTAAAGGCATAAAAGGCATAAATAATTCGCTGATTTTTTTTTTTAATTACCGTGTAAAATGTCAAATCAAGATAGCGTCGAATTCTTACCTGGTCCTCTGCGAGAAATTTATAATTCTGGTGCTTGACAGGAAAATCAAGATATACAGATGACTTTGTGCGATCGTAAAGATCTATGTCGACGTATAAGTCGAAGAAGGGCGCGCCGTTTACTTTTAGCAATGCAGAGATTAGAGGAGTGATATCAGTCGGCACCACGCTTTTCGGCGATAGATAGCCACCAAATTTATTCAACAGTTCGTAAACTGAAAGAGGGAGCATTAAAAGTGACTTATCATCGGGACGTATGATAATATCAATGGGACATATATTTAATAATAATTGAATAACTGAAGAAACTTTATACAATTTGGAGTAACGAAAGAATTATATAGAAAAGGATCTGTTCTTATCCGCGATTTTTATTAACATTTAACAAATGTTAATATGATATGTTTTAATAATAAAAAGACTATTACAATATTAACTTATTTATATGCATAAAATTATTTTATATTTGATTTATTAAAATTGAAACGATAAAATAATTGTGTTAGGAAAATTTTCAGATTTATTTTTATTATAAATATCCGAATTTTATTCATGTCTTCCAAATGTTAATGCACGGTATGTTTTAATTCTAATTGGTACTGATTGTTCCAAAATATTCTTAATTGATATTCACGAGTCCAGTGCTATAAATTAATACAGCTTTGCTTAAAATTAATATAATTGAATGATTTTATTTTCATTTTATAGATCAAAATCCAAGGAATGAGATTACATAACTTAAAATTATGTAAGGTTGTGAAAAACATTTGTTTAAACAATTTTTCACAACATAATCACAGAAAATGTTCGGGAAAATGTCCATTAAACTCGTAAATATCAATAAGGATTAATAATAATAGGAAGCTTGTGCAATAACGTGAATTTAGATACGGTGAACGTTAAAGACATATTATCCTTTTCTTAATTAATTGTTAAGAATAAGAAGAAGATAACTTGATCTTAGCGTTCATCGTATTTGGATAAACGGTATTGCAAATCTTTCTAATAAAAGAGCGAGTTAGCAATATTAGCTATTCGTAAAACAAAGTATCGTGAACAAATCTTTTACCGGGTGTAAAATTTACGGGTTTCTTCTTAAAGTCCCGACAAGTATCGTAAAACTGCCCAAGCTTCTCGAAGGCAACGATCATTTGTCCCGTCTCGTTTGTCAGCGTTTCTAAAACAATAATACTCGCGATTAGGATCATTTCCTGGAAGGAAATGTCGTTAAGTTCAACTCGCAAAGAAGGCTGAAGGGATAAGGCACAACGGTTAAAGATCTCGCAGATGATCCGATTAGCAGCGGGGGTAATTCGTCGACCTTGAATCACGCGAATATCCGAAGGTAAACGTAAAAGTAAGAGAAGGTTTTAGAGAGAGACGTTCCGCCAAACAGTAAGCAACCGGTGCAACACACGTATGCATACGTGTACACGTACGTATATCGATTAATGTGCATTATTTATAGTAACGGCAAGTCGGCCGTTCGATTTCGCCTTGTATCAGAGTCCGATAACTTTTCATCAAACGGAACGACCCTCCCCCGTTCGTTTCTTTCATTTTCGGGGAACGTGAGCGTACCAATGTCGAAGACTTCCGGAGAACTTGCAACCACCCCATAAGTCCATCCCTTAACGAGACAGCGCTATTAATGGATCCTCGGGAGGAGGAAAATCATGTCCCTCTCCTTTTTTAAAAATATTTATGGCAAACTGTTATACATATTTTTAATTTTTGTAAAATGCTTCATCACAATTATGATATTCCAAATGTATATTTTAATTAAAAAAACTCCTAGATATAAAAAACATAGATTTACATTTCATTATATTATTCTTTTTTTGTGTCAATATAATTTTAAATAAAATGTTTTGTAAATTGTACATTTCATATATATTTATAATAGTTCTTTAATGTAACAACTTAAATATTATAAATAAATTTAGTATTCTATCTTTCCATATTTGATCTTGAAAAAAGATTGAAAAAAAAGATTTCGCTTCCTACAATTCGCCGATGAATCCTTGACAAGTTTTTGGATCCATCAATAGATAGCACCGAGTTTTTCGATCTACATTCCGATGTTCTTCGTAATGACGTTTCTCGTATATATAGTCGATGTTTATTCATCTCTCCTTTAAGTTTCGATCCCTGAAGAGTTATATTATCCCGCGATCCATACGCGAGCATAGTTGGTGCCAGTCGCTCGGCGCCAGTCGCGTCGGCGACACCACTACCACTAACTATTATCGTGTTCCCGATAGGTTCTTGCCAAATTGAGGTCGGGTTCTCTGTCCGGGTTTTCCCCGTGGTCTTTGAATCTCTACGTTGAAGATTAACATGTCGCTAATTACACCCGTCTCTCATCCGCAAATCCGGTTCCCTTTTTCTTTCTTTTCCCTCGTCGACACGAGGATCGTAATAATCGCAACGAAAAGAGGACAAAGAAAATCGATAGGATTACCGAGATACCGTCGTTATTGTCATACAATAATACTTTGATAGTCAATACACTCTTTAGAATCGTTAAACGTAATGTAGAAGAATTGAAGATAAATTTCTATAATTTTGTATAAAAAGTTCTAAGATGAGGTTTTCTTATACAGGCAACTCCAATTTTATTGTATTATGTAGAATAATAATAAAATCACTGATCCATTATAAGCTCGATTTTTTTCTTAACGGATAACTTTTAATCTGCGAAACAGATCATTTTAATCAGGCGTAAATTATATGCTCTTATTTTTTCCAAGAAAAAATGCTGTATTTCATAATTATTCTATTGAAAAACATTACGTCATTACTCCACTGAGAATTGAGTATTTTAATGAGGCCATATGAATCCACTCGGCTGAAAGAGATTGAAACGCGGTAAAAGGAATGGAATACTTTTACATCGTGGAACGCAATTTTTTGCTTCAACGAAGTAATTAAGTTTTCGAAATTAGCGATTAAAACTTGTGAAAATAATGTCTAAAACTTTTTTAAGTTAGAATGTTGTAAAAGGAAAGTTGTGGAGACCTGTAAAACACTCACTGTGTATACGCTCGTCGATTTGCGCCTGGAGTATATTGAAGCTTGCACTCGGTTGATAGGGCTGCTGATCGCGAAAACCACCGCAAGCGAACTTGTAAAAATCTTTGCAAGGATCGACGCCACGTTTCATAGACGTTAAGATCCTCTTCGAGGCTTCCACGCAAACATCCGTGTCGCAAACACCCTCAGGTCCATCTCGTTCTCTGACACAGGCTTCATCCTGAAATCGCAGTCATTAGCTTTGCTTTAACAGATTCTTTTCCCTGAGACTAGATGCCTATTTTTCGGTCCCAAAATATCCTAATTTTTATTTATTGTTTGGATAAAAACAAAATATCTTCTGTCAACTTGAAGCTTTTGTAATTTTTCAAATCGTTAATTTTATTGGCTCTTTTTTAATAAGTATAGATATAACGTGACTATATTAATAATAATAAATTATATAACAATCATCGTAATAATATATAAAATATAATTATTATTTAGATATAAATTCGATTTGGCAAAATTGAGATCTCTTTTGAAGCAACCTTTTCGTAAACAGTTCTCGTGTGCATTGTTAATCAAAGATAATATGTATTATTAAATTGTTTATCAATTTAATTTGTAATTACGTACGCCAACTTCAGTTTAGGACTGTATTTGACAAATAATGACACATATTCGGCGTGCAGTTCACTTGAGTTGAAAATTGTAAAATGCATGCAAAATGTTATCAAACACAAAGACCTGCTTTAACCGAATTCTAAAAAACACACTAAGTAAAAAAATCAAAATAATTTTACGACGACATGAAAGTCAAAATGATGATCTTTGGTTACAACATTTGACTGTTTATTGACTTATTAAGAATCAATAAAGATATTTTAATAAAGATATTTTTTATTAATTCTTGTGTATTCCTTGAGATATGGTCTTTTCACTAATAACTAATGTATAACTAATGTAATTTTCAAATTTAAATAATGTAATACAAGTATATTCTCTGTCTTAACATTTTACATTCAGAATTGTTAATATTGACTCTTATATGTCCTTTATAATCTTTGTTATTGTTTTTTAAAATTAAGAGTCCTATATTCTTTATTATATGATTTTTACTTCTTCACTTATTTAGGTTCAAAATAACATTTTTAACGATTATTGCTGTAACATCTTTGACTCTAAATACCATTTGCAATCCATTCGTTTTCTGATAAATATAAATTCGGAATAAGAGGTAACTAAAGCCCTGACCTCAGCCTAGGATGAGCCTTCAGTTCACCTAGAAACCTTACCTACCAATACGGCTTCGCTTTGTGCTGTCGCATGTATCACTTCGAGTCATAAGCGCGGTTTTCCATGTCGTCGTTCAGTTTCATAATTTCACACATTTTCAATTCATATAAAGAAAATAAAAGGTACAAATTTTCTTGAATCGCGATTCTCCTCTTTCTCCCTTTGGATTCGAGAATTAATTCTCTTGTTATTTGCGAGATTAAATTTGCAGCACAAGGATAAGTCACTGATTACAGGAATCCTCTCGTTGCTAAACGCCGACTTTTCTCGCCTTTCTCACCTCTCTCAAAGTTAACTTATGTCTACGATCAATATAAATTACTACGTCCAACTACTAATCTTCCTTGCTGCATAAGTAAGACGATTACTTATTCGCGTCACGTCACACGCTTCGCACGTTTTGCAAGCATACCCTGCATGCGTGCGTTATGTTCGCGAAACACTTCGTGTTTCCTTGTAATCTCAGTGACGATTTATACCTTTAATTTCTCAACAAGCTCTTACGTGATACTCACTTACTTTCCATTCTATGCGTGACGACACATAAGTATTGAAGATGGAATTGTTTCGAGCACAACATAGCTTTTCGCCGTAAGTTTTGCGAAAAGAAATATCATGTTTCTTTCTTTCAAAAAGAAAGCCTTGGATAAGAATACATTATAGATATTTTGCAGGTATATAGCGCATTTTCTATATATCGAATGGCAGATATATTTATTATACTATTTATAGAAATGAAATTGAGTTAGAAAATAAAAATCAGTTTGATTTCATCGAACGCGCAAATCCGGGTGTTACGGAAGCCGGATAATTTCGTATTTATTCGTGCGTAAACAAAACGCAATAAATCCTACGGCATAGGATTCTTTTCTCACGTATTTTCAGCATTTGGAAACTGATAAATAATCCCAGATTTAATCCCCGAAACCGCTCCCGTATCCACGAAACCCCTCTTTCCGCTTCGTTTGGCGCGCAAGAGATTGCCGGATACGGAAGAGGAAAGGATCGTTAAAAGGACACCCACCAATGGCGCACATTTGCGCGGCTGCTCTCCTTCCGGCAAGGTCGTGATAAGGAAGAGCACCGGGCTGGTGACCAGCAGGCTGGTTACCAGCATCATAGCGAAGGTGAGCAGCGCCTTGTGCACGGCCTTGCTCCTCCGCAGCCAGTAACAGGGCACGCAGCATACCCATGTGCCCTGGTGTGCCGATCGTTCCACGTGCACCATCGGCTCGTCCGGTAACCCGGAACCGGGGGCGGCCTCCTCCGTGCCCCCGATACCGCTGGTAGCCACGGTCGTGCCGTGCACCCCCCCGCGACCACCTGACCCGCTGGCGCATAAATTGCGGGGGCTCAAGGACAGCCGCGCGCCTGCGTCGCCACGTAATCTACCGCCACCGCCCCCACTGCCACCACCACCACTACCACCACCACCACCACCGCCTCCACCAGCACCAGCACCACCACCAGCACGGGCCCCGCGGGCCACACGGCCCCCGTAACCCTCGCTCACCGTGCACAGAGCCACATTTGCCGGGTCCCACCGTACGTCCTGTCCCTAAATCCCGAACCCGCCTCGAGGGTGACCGTTGTTTCACCCCCCCCAGACACCCCGTCGGCACGGGGATGACGGTTGAGTGATGAGAATGTAACGGCACCAGCTCTCACCGAGTGAACCACGACTCCACCAGCAACATGTCTCGGGGCTGAAATTGCATGGAAAATTACGATTAGATTTGAAATCACGCCCTCGCCTCGGCGCGCTTTCAAAGGCCACGAATTATCGCTTGAAGATCATCGTTACAGAGCTTTTCTTTTCCTGAACTTCGTTTACTGCTAGGTCAGGAAGAAATAATATAGAGATTGTAGATATAAAGTTTCATATAAAATATGATGTATGCATAACTCTATTTGTTCTTGACAAAATGTCTCAAAATACTTCATGTATACGCTAAACTCTCTGTGAAAATACAGGGGTGAGAAGTAATGCGTTATTTATAATGTTGTCATTGTTACAATTTTTTTTTATTTTTTTACAATAACGACGATTTTTTTTATTTATAATTTGATTGCAATATAGTGACGCTTTTTGGGTAATAGTATATAACGATCTATTGGTAACGAATGTAATAAAACCAGTATCTTTATTGTTATTTGGTACACGTACAATAACCATTAGATACATTTCGCAATGAAATGGACAATTAGCGACACAGAAAATTGAATGCCACTTTAAAATAGGATTATCAAAATTAGATGGATAAGTAATGGAAATAATTGTAATAACTCGATATAGTTTTCAAATAAAGATAATAAAATTAATTTTTTAAATTAATAATAAATAACAAGTTATTTTTAGAAAGTAACTTTTCTAACTTTGAGAAAATATTAAAAATGAAACACTTCTGTAACTGTGCCTTCCCCTTAATAAAAAAAAATCAGTTATAGCTCTCAATTATTAATAAAAAATATTTTATGACGTTAAACATTATTTATAATTTAATGTTAAATTTGAGATAAAGTAAAACTTTTTGTTACGTAATTCCAAAAGATTCTTATTAAATTCTATTTTAATTTATTTTAGGTTTAAAAAACAGAAACTAAAAACTTATGCAGACAAGAAGTGAGAAGAAAAACACAACTGACTTTAATAAGCAAAAAAATATTTTGTAATTGCAGTTTTATTCTTTGAAAAATCTTTTACTCGAATCAATTTAGAGAGAGAGAGAGAGAGAGAGAGAGAGAGAGAGAGTGTGTGTGTGTATTGCAAAACCAAACTTACTTTTTATATAAATCACACTTACGTGAATTTTCGGGGAGGACAAGACGCACCGATTGAAATTTGCAACTTTGCACAAACTCGCCGCGTTTCTTTGAATTTTAGTTCCGATCGGGCTACTGTTAGATTCGAATAAATAGGACGTGCACATGACGTGCTTAACGCGTCGTGCAAAATTCAGTCGATAAGGATCGACGTTTCGACGACGTTACTACGATCTCAATGGCACGGTTTGGCAAATTTTAATAAATGCAATATACGGCTCCGTTCTCCAAGTTTACAGTGACACGCGGACTGTCGGACTGAACTCGAACGGAACGAAACCCACTCCCACTGACTACCCCATTCCCACCCCTTTCTTTCCTCCCCGTAAATCCCACTCTGTTTTTTCTTCGTCATCCTTTTCTGTCTTTAAACATACTTGCGTGCTAAAATATTGTTTAAACAAACGCAACGCAACATACTGCAACGCAAAATATATTTTTATTACTCAAAATTTAATTATTAAAATTTAATTATAAAAATTTAATTAATCAGTAAATGTATCGCATTCTCGCTTTACTTCGTATATGTCTTAAGACGACCTTCGAACGAAATTCTAATTAATTTAATCGTTTAATTTATCAAGTAATATAATTTCAGTAAAATCAAGTATTATTATTTTGGTAAAATAAATGGGATTATTAATTTTGTTGTTGTTGTTTGACATTTGTGAAGCGAGACTAAAGATCAGGGACGACAAATTATATAATTAGAAATTTCGATTATGAAGTTAATTTGGTTGAAACTGTCTTTAAATGTCACAGCAATGATAGCAAAACTAGAAAAGTGACGGAAATATAGGGAGCTGGTAGTAAATTGTAGCATTGAAGGTACACTAGATAAAAACGATGCCAGCCAAAAAATACAGATTTTATTCATCCACCTATAACGCATACACAATAAAGTTGGTTAAATCCATTTCAACTGCAAGATATATGCAATGAGAAGTACATACACAAAATATACAGGATGGGGCAATTCTCGACTTCGTGACTCAGTCTATCTCTGCGGTTATCGAAAAATGTCTTGAACGACAGAGATCGTCTAGGTCACAAAATTAGACGTCTCACTCTGTATATAAGATATACGTAAGATATATGTATATATTTATATAGGGTATCCCGTCGCTATCGCGTCACTTCTTAATAGAGGACTCTCTGGATAATTTGAGGTTGAAGATATATACGCGAAGTTATGTCGCTTCTTAAACGGGAAGCGATGAGAGTTAACTGAAACTTTCCGCGATCGATTAGCTTTAATCGCTTCCCAATTGCAATATATGGCATCCTCGATGTGTATTTCCATATTGAGACACCCACTCAAAGTTTGAGGAATCCACCCCCCTAGTAGCTAATGCAACAGTAACATCCTATATTTACATGTACATACACATATACACATACCTTATTTATATATGCATTTATATTCATATAATTTAATGTGTTATGCTCAAACTCTCTGTTCGCTACGATTCTAAGGTACATCATCTACACATGCGGATTTTGTAGCATCCGTATTTCGTGTTCTCGTGTTCCTCACGAGCGTCCTCGCGTGTCCCCCTGTCGTTCTCCGTTAATTAAATCAAATAAGAATAGATTTTCAATCACCGTAGTGCACGTTGCTCCAGAAATCTTCAAATAAATACTCTCTGTGCAACGTCTTAATATGTCTTACGCCTGTTTCTATCAATGTGGATTAACTTTAATCTTGGTTTAATTTACTCTTTTTTTTTCTAATCCTTGAAACTAGAAAAAGATGAAGAGTAAGTTGAACCAAGATTAACTATGTTAATCTACAATTGGTAGAAATGAGTACTAATGTGTAATCGGGTGATTAAAAAAAGAGAAGAAAAACGGGGGACGATCTTTACTCTAAATATTTATTAAAATTAAATAATAGATAATTGTATAGAAGAAAGAAAAAGAAGCAGACATTTGTGGCATCGTTAAAAAATAATTTTTCAAGTAATCAATCTTTCTAATTAATCTGACCCACCTGCGTCGTCGAACTTTCCATAAAAAAAACAGAGAAGATTTTGTCGGTATAAGGTGGATCCAAATTATTGAGCTACGAGGACGACAATAATTACACGAAATTCTTGTTCCCGGAATACTCTTTCACAGACGCTATCGATTCGATAACGTCTGTTAAATGCTAAATGCTTCGAGTTTACCGCTCTGTCAGAAGAGTAATTTTTAATACCGCTATTTGAATAATACATAGTAAATTTTCTTTCTCGTCACCTTGTTCCCCTAATTATCAAGTTTCGTTCGTCAATTTGAGAACTCTTCGGAAAGCTGTCAACGCGGACACAATTTTAACAAAATAATACCTTCCTTTCGGTAATTGCGTCGCGTGTCGCTCGGAAGCTTATAGTAACAACCAATAACAATAATACATTAATTAAAAATGACAGATTGTAAAAATCAAATACATCATAACGAAAATTACAACATTCTACATCATATCTTTTAATCTATCATTGCCTGGATAAATAAATGAATTTTCAATTCTTTTCGCTCGATTCTCGGCACTTACATTAAAACGAAGAACTTCGAAGATCACAAAAGGCATTTAATTTTATAAGAAATTTATTTCATATTTTTTACCAGAATTTCTCAGAAAGGTAATTGATAACCCAAGGAACACACCAAGTTGAGAGAAAGTCAAAATGACTTTATTTTGATGTCATAAAAGTCAAAATGATGATTTCTGGTTACAAAGTTTGACTGTTTATTGATGTTAAGGATTAAAATAAAGTCATTTTGACTCTTTGTTTACTTTTGTGTGTTCCTTGGGAAACTATTCTTTAATTAGGTTGGGCGCTAATGATTTGACTTTTCTTCGGTAACAGGATTTAGAAAAAAATTGTGTGTGCTGAAAAGAGTACAAAGGATACAGATTCTTAACGCGCGATAGAAGCTTTGTTATAAATGGCATGATGTGTAATTATGATTGATATCATAATTACAAAGATTATAATAAAAAGTATCGGGATTTTCTGATGATTCGAATATGAGTCAACACGCTGGAATAACGAATGACGATACATTGGCACGTGACGATGCGATCAGCGCACAAATGAATCTGAAAAAAATCGAGGTACATTTCTCAGCTGCGCGGCGCGAAATCAGAAAAGCAGAAAAGGAGCGCTCGCGTAAACATCTTCTGATCGGAATATTCCTATTTTCTTCGCTGAAATCGACGATAATCGCGTGAACCGTGGTCATCGATATCGTTAGATCGCGCTGAATCGCTCCTCGTGGGCCTTCTTAACAATCGCTAGTTTGGAGTGTGGGTCCGCGGTCGATAGTCCCGTGTATGGTGGTTCTCTGGTACCGTGGAGCATCAGCGTCCATTCTTTCAGCCATCCATGTTGAGGCGTTTGAGTGTTGAAGCTCACCTAAAAAAAAAAAAAAAAAAAAAAAAAAACCCGATACTCAGATCGAGTTACTCTCGTGTGTAGGCGGAAGGAAAAAGACACGTAACGAAATTCAAGTAAGAAACACGAGGAAACGAAATTTACCTCCAACAACCAAGTCCCCTGAGGGTACTCTCCCCATGTATGCGTCGTCATGAATGGCCACTTCGTGAACCCATCCCTGTGATCGTCATCATTCACTCTGCGGCTCAAAATCATAGACCTAAAAATATATTACGAAGATTTAGATCGGATAAAAAATTAAAAAGGGAGAAACTCCCGTTAAAAGAATATGGGGAGAAACGCGTGGGTTTGAATTGGTCGGAGGTCGAAGTGTTGAACAGTAGATAGAAAGAGAAAGAAGAAAATTTTGAAATTATCGCACGTACACTTTGAATTTCTATTATAGGCGTTTCAAATTTATAGCTTGTAACAAGTGGGAAAATTCAATTTTATCCATTTTGTTCCGATGAAAGATTCATATCACGAATATGACGTTCACTGCATACCTGGTACCCATTGGGGACGTGAGGAACAGCTCGAGATCACCGCGCCGAGTTGCATTTACGGAAATGACGGCTTGCACGTGCTCTAAATAATTGACAGCGTACTCCGTGCCGGCGCACGCGTCGGTTTTAATTTTCACAAGAATGGATCGATCGCTCGTTACTTTCCTGGAAAATAAAAGCAGCTCTAGGAAATCAATTCTGTCTGAAGGAAAAAAAATCGATGTTAAATTGATTGGAGAACCTCGTTCATTAGCCAAGTAAAATAAAAAGTCGTGATCAGAGATATCAAAATAATGTTAAAATTATTTCAAAACCAAGCAGAACAACAAGTCATTATGCTATCAAAATGATGTCAAAATGACTCTAAAATGATCATTAAAGGTCATTTTTCAATCAGTCACGATTTATATTAATATCATTTCGACATTATCGTGATATTCCGATTCGATATCAACTAAAAGTAACATAATATCGATGTTACAATTTCGCACTCAGCGTGAATATAATAATGTAACACTTGGTGTTATATAACCAAGTGTTATTAAGTAGAAAATTATAACATTATGTTATTTTTAGTTGATTTCGACTGGACTGTTCTGCTTAACATTATGAAAATATTCAGTGCCTCATTTTGATCCCGCGTTATATATATATATATATATATATATATATATATTTTCGAAAGAGCTACTTACTGCGTTTCGAACGTAGAACCAGCCTCGCAGTGATATCTCGGTGGTACCGTCTTCCATTTTTTAGCTAGAGCTACCATAGCGCCCGCGTCCAAGACGCCGTATCCAAAAAGATGATTAAACTCGAGCCCAACGCCATTCATGGTCCAATGAAATCTATCTTTCGCGTCGAACAGAGAATTTCTTTTCGAAGTTAGGACGGTCAAATGCTGAATATCTCTCCAGGTCAGTTGCGGACTAGAAACGAAAGTTCTTTCAGCTTAGAGTACGAAGTTATAACAGCATCAGAGGAAAATTTTTAGTTTGTATCACTAAAGATTGACGGTACCCTACATAAAATTTTTCTATGACAAAATTATTCTTGTTGTTACAATTAGTCTACAATGCGGTCGCAAACTCGTTCTAAAGTCGCAAGAGCAGTCGCGATAGTCACAAACATCAATAGTTGATGTCATTCTTGTGAGTTTAAAACGAATTTGCGATCGCATTGTAGACTAATTGTAAGCATTATGCAATGAATTTGCAAAAATTGATTATCGAAAATACTTAAAAAATATCAATGAAAACGTTAAATAAATGGAGTATTTTTATGGCCTTCCTTTAAGAAAAAATGTTTCAATATACTGATTAACTATTCAGTAACTAATGATATTTAATCAGTTCTGGTGAAATATCATCAGTTACTGAGTAATTACTTAATATATTGAAACATTTTTTCCTAAGAGTTTTATATTCAATGTAATAATTATAACTTAAACTGAATATTACGTGCTGCGTCAATATGAAATATAAAATAACGTTAAATAAAAAATATGTTAATAAAGAGAAAAACATACACTTACTTGGCTTCAAGAGCTAGCGCAAACACTCCCGCGGCTTCCGGTGCTGCGGCGGAAGTCCCGCTATGTGTCGTCGTGCATTTTCCATATAAATCCGTGGTGGCCTGTAAAAACGTATATAATGAAATAAAAAAAAATCTGAAAACAATTTTACTATGAAAGAGAACCGCGGTTAGAGACTACATTTTCTTCATCGGTATAAATAAAGCATTTTGTGTAAAACGTTTCTCTTTTTTAATAAAGTCGTTTTCGAAAAGACAATCTTTTTATTTCTGCAGCGCCAACTTACCACTCCCGTGTTAGGGTCCTTGGCACCGTTGCTGAAGGTGGAAGCCAGGGTGCTGGAGCAGCTCTCATCATAATGCGCGTTCTGACCGTCGTTGATGGCACTGTTGATACTGATGGTCCACATACTCGCGGCGTATCCGTCACAGTTACAGTCATCCTCCTCTCCGCCATCTCCGGATGCCCAGACGTAGATATTACCTAATCCGTTTCTCCCCTGATATATAAGAACAAACAGGGACATGAACGAGTGTGAAAGCGATATAATATTTTCTTCTTTTTTTAATTTAAGAACAGACTAAAAATTAAACATCGCTTTTCTCGGGATCATAGCCCAAGAAATACAAGTCAAGAGAGAGTTAAAATGATTTTTTGCTATAAAATTTTATTAATATTAAGAATAAAAATAAAGTGATTTTTTGTTATTTTTTGTTAATTTTTGTGTTCCTTGGGAGGCATAGAGTTGAAGATTTCAGTCAGGGAGGAAAGTAAAAATTTATCTTCGCACACAAAATTTATTAAAATACTTATATTAAAATCAATCTTCAGAAAACTATCTTACGCATAGGTGTGAATCACGAATTGGACAATGAGTATTTATCCAAGCAGAATGAGTCATTATGATATCAAAATGATGTGAAAATGACTCCAAAATCATTAAGTCATTTTTCAATCATTTTAATGTCATTTTGTCATTATCATGACTTGTTGTTCTGCTTGGGTAAATTTTTATCATAAAAATGATTCTTATAATTTAATTGTTTCCTCTTGCTAAAATTTAGGATAGGCAAATGTTCCATTTTGCTCCCCTTGTTTATATTCGGGATATTCTTACGCGGATTGCAACTAAATTATCAGGCTGGAAGAAGAAATTAAAGAAGAAATTAAAAAGGAAAAGTAATCTTCATTATTCGCTATTAGCGATGATATATTTTTCGAGTCTCTTTTTGATTTTAATTAATGCAACAATTGATAGCAAAAAGCTTTCGCATTCGATATTGATTTTATTGTTAAAGATAATATCAGTGATTCAATTAATCTCGCTAATGGTCGTGTTGCGAGTAAGTAATTATGTTACGTGTGTACCTCATTAACGCCGCGTACGATGGCCCTCATGGTCGCGTTGCGAGGTCCATCCACCGTCTTCCCGTCGTCCGTGGGTCCCCAGGAGGCGCTGTAAATGTCTATGAGATCGGGTTCGTGGCCCATACTGTTCGCCTCGATCAGATCGGTCATGTACGGCTGGTCCAGCATTCGGATCCCCGCGATCTTCGAGTCGTATGCCACCCCGACGCCGCACACCCCATTGTCGCGCGCGGCCGCAACCTCCCCGGCGCATCTCGTGCCGTGGCTTCCCATGACAAAAGACCGTAAAGCTTTAGGTTTTCTGGTTACTATACTGATTATTACGGCGCGGATGTTCGCCGAGCGATTCACGGCGCGGATGTAGGACGCGCTTTTGTTTTACTTTCAAACACAAATGCCTTTGTTTCTACGCCCTCGGTTAAGAGCGCTCGGACTACTCTCACCCGCGCGATTTGTTTATCTACTTCTTTGACTCAAACTTGATTAACTTTACGACGTTCTATTCTCTCTCAAGAACGTAATTCTTTCTTTGTATATAAAATATATTCTTACCTATTAAACCAGTCGTCGGTGTACCTCGGGTACGGATACGGATCGTTACTGCTAAAGTCGTAAGAAGCTTTCGCGTTCTGAAAGGGAATGTCGACTTCAGTGATTTGCGATTATTAAGAAGATTCTCCAGTCTTTTCGTATAAAATAAGGATTTGATCAAATATTGAAAATATGTTTGTAGTTAATATGAAGACATCAATCTGAATTTTTTTTAATTTTTTGATTATAAGTTTGTTTAAATAATTTTCTGAAATAGTTTAAATTCTTATGGGAAAAAAGATTTCGAGTAATTTAATTGTAAATGAAATGTAAGAATTTTGAAGAGTTATATAAAAGAATGAAATTTATAAAAGAATGAAATTTAAAAAACATTTTGGAATAAAAAAAAATAAAGTTTTATTTTTGTGTAAAAGTATGAAATGTTTATGAATTATTCAATTCTCTTTAAATATAACGTCACTCTAGTACAAGTTGTTTCCACTAGAATTATCAATATTTATCAATATTTAAATTAAATTTAAATAATTACTGTTAATAACTTTTTTTAATACTTTCCACATAAATATTCATTTTTATCACAAACAAACTTTTTTCAATAACAAATTATAATTTTACTAGTCTATTTTTTAGAAGATGATGTTATCCTTTATAAATGCTCTCTTAAGATAAAAAGAGTTACGTGATTCTATTCCACTTTTTGAGTTGGAGAACTTTTTTAATTTTTTATTTTCAATGTCGTTATGATAAACAATATATACAATCATCAAGTTTGCTACATGCTAATTTTAATTATAAAAATAGTAATAAAAAAAAGATAATAACGCTTTTTGATAAAAAAAATTATAAAAGAACAATTAAATATTTGCTGTTGACAGCAAATAAATAACTAGATTTTTTTCTCTCGAATACTGCAAGTTATTCTACTCTATCTACACTTTACCTGGTTTCAAAGTCTCTTGTTCTCTGTGATTTGGAATTCCTGGCATACTTCTATGAAAGATGCGCTGAGAATGGCATCCGTGCGAAAGTATGGAGAGAATATTCGCGAGTAGATTCTATTTAGTATAACGTACTTTGTTGCACTATTAATAAATTATATTCTCAGATTTCTCGTGGTAGAAACATTATGCATTACTTTCGTATTCGTATAATGTGCTGCAACTTTCGCAAAATTTTCGCGTGATCCTGTTTAGTAAATATACTTTAACATACTGCATTTATTAAAATTAAATTACATTCGCAGGATTATCATGGTAGAAACATTATGCTTTGTAGTCACGTAATGCAACCTTCGAAATCTTTATCATTTTACAAAATATTTGATACTAAATCTCATTAATTGGTGCAAAAAGATCTTATTATACTTGTCGAATAAAGCTGAAAATAAAATTGCAGTCGCGAAAAAAATATTTATTAAAATAGTCACCATTGATCTCAACGCGAATATTCTCTTTAAAAATTTTGCGCGGACTTCAAACTTGATTTAAAATAAATTTTTTGTAAAAAAAAACGTTGAAATTTTTTTTTGATAAAATATACAATATTGCAACGAATGTACTTACGTAATTATATTTGAGATCCGGATGCATGTAATCGACACCTGTAATAGAAGAGTGGTATTATTGATGCATATAGATTTTGTGTTGGCGGTGATGTTAAGCGTCGCCACGTGCGACGTATAACGTAGTATATACAACATAAATATAAGTTCTGAGCATCACGAAAAAGAAGGTAAAGTACTGAGAAGACGGTAAAGTGGCAATTTCTGTTCTCTCGTTAATGAAAAGCGGACGATATTTAGAAGGACTCGGACAATCATATTATATCGTTGAATACAATTACGACAGACGCTCTGAAAATTTATCTTCCCATCTTTCAGTGAAACGGGAGAGCATTGCGTAACTCGCACTACTCCCTCGGAGCGATATCGATTCAAAGCCCGCCAGTTCCCTCGAATTGCACTCGAGGGCGCGTGTAATTTAACGCCGTTTTGACTTCGGGACAGTCCTGTAGTTCGATTATGTCGATTAGACAATGCGGGGAAAAAAAGAAGAAGAAATGAAAAATATATTCTAAGATAATACATCAAAAGAAAGTCAAGATGACTTTATTTTCTCAGATAATACGGAGAGAAAGAATTTAAAAGGAATTCAGTCGTATGCCATTAATTCTAAATTCATTTTCAGATGAAAAAGAATTGTTTTATGTCAAAAGTGTTCTGAAAAGAATTATTGTTTTTTATTTGAAAGAAAATAAAGAATTGATAACGTATGTCTGAAGTGTTATGAACTCTCTGTGTTATCTGGATTAATGTCATAAAAGTCAAAATGATGATTTGTATTTACAAAATTTGACTGTTTATTGACGTTAAGAATAAAAATAAAGACATTAAAAATTTGTGTTGACTTTTATGTATTTTTTAGGATATTCCATCACTTACCATCGTCCATTATAGCCGTCGTCACGTTCTTCCCCGTGACGCCCTGAGCCCAGGCAGCCTCGACGTTCAAATCCAGTTTCGGTTTGCCGCCGTTCTGGCCGACATTCTTCAGATACCACTGGTACTTGAAAAAAGGATCCGTCGGATCCTTACTCGCCGGATTTGCTGGATTCTTAATTTCGTATAACGGCACGAGATTATCCACGCTTAGAAGTTTGTAGCCTCTTTTCACTCGCTTGAAACCCGGTTGCTGTATCGCCGTGGCCACCTAAATTTTTAATGTACCTCCTTTACATCGTCCTTTTTAAATATTCTTAATCCCTTGCTCTTTTATGTCAAGATAAATTTGACGAGATGAAATCGCCTTTTGGCAATCCTCCGCATTGTTCTCCAAACACTCGAAACGGTGCTTGATTGACAATCAGTAAAATGTATTTTTGAAATCTCGACAAATTTAATAATTTCTTCAAATAACATATTAATTTTGATTGCACATTAAATTAGATTAAGAATGAAATATTTAAATTTAATCACTGCTCGTTTGTGACAAATTTAGAGTGCATTGAGTTAATTACTTTATAACCCAAATATTATAAAGAAAAGAATTTATAAATACACTCCCGTGTCCTGAAAGAGTATAAAACTCATCCAAGCTTAATTTTCTTCAGCATAAAAAAATAAAATTACAACAATCTGCCAACTTCATTAGCATTTTACTAACTTTCATTTTTTCTTAATACTAATAATTGTCGCGTAAGCACGCGACTTGCAAAAGAGATATCAACTTACCAGAGGGTCGACCTTTAATTTTCGCGTGTGCGGTACCGATCGTTTGCTTCGTACATGCGGCAAAGCTCTATGTACGAAGTGATACTCCGTCTGACTGTCCAATACCTTCAAAAAATTTTTTTACATTTTACTCTTTATCAACAGAGATGCGCAAAATTTTTAATAAATATCTTTGGAAGATAAACAAAAGCTGGGATAAGTTAGTTCTCAAAACCAAACAGTTTTATTTTGATAACATCATTTCCATTGCAATAAATATCTTATACGCTTTGAAAATGAAAGAAACCTCATTTCTTTTTTATGCGTTGTTCAATCAAAATTTCTATAATTCGTACGAAAGAAAAAAATATTTGATTTGGACTTGTAATAATAAAGTGTAAATATAATATTTAATTTTATTTATTACTTTTATGATTATTATGTAATTATTTTATGATTACAAATTTGTTTTACATATGTAAAGAAATTTAACATAATGTAAATGTAAAGGAACGTAACAGTTTAACATAATATAATTGAGAACACTAAACTTTTTATATGTAATTGTACTTATATATATAATTTTTTCTTTATTCTTCTCCTTGATAAGAACATCATTAATTCAGTTCCCCCGGAGAAAATTGAGTACAAATGAACAGTAGAAAACTAACACGCATAATACAGAGATAGAAAATGAAATAAATTTAATACCTGGAGGGAAAAAAGCAAATGAGATTTCTGAGTGGAAATTCTAGCAATACGTAGAGATTAGAATGTAGCTTTTATTTCTAAATTGACGTGCGATATCTGATCCGATTTCCCGATACGCCCACGTCAACAAATAAAGAGAGCGTGTTATCAAGATAAAATAATTAGTTTTCTAGGCCGTTGTAAAGAGCGAGGATTACTTCGATATCTGGGACTGTTTGCGTAAATCCTCGTTGCAATTTACGGTTACCAGTTCTATTGCGTCAGAAAAAAAATAGAAATGAAAGTTGAGATTTCCTTCGATTTGAAACAAAGCTTTTTAATCCTAGTTTTATTTTCTTTCTCATAAATGTTGCATGTTCGTCGCTATAACCTTGACTCTCGGCATACAGAACTAGTGCTACTATAATCTGCGAAATGAAAGACAATGACAGCTGTTCGACAACTTATTGTTAAGCTGCTGAAGCATTCTTTTAGTCGACTTAAACTTGTGTAACATCAGTCGTTGTCAATGCAAGGCATGGCGGAATCAATCGCATCGTAATAGACCCGATCGATCCGGACGATAATTTAGCGTCCATGTCTGATGGCAGTTAATCGTACGAGACAGCTAGGAAACAGTTTTAATCGGAAGAAACTACGTCACTACGCCGGTAAATAGACCTTACAGGATATCAATTCTCTCTACATTGATGAAATTCAGCATCAGAAACGTTTATCTAATACCGTATGGTCGGTTATCGGTAACCGCAAACCTACATATATATAAAATTCTATATATATATATATATAAATATAAACAAATTAGTTTTAACAAAAGTAAAATTCGTTTAGAGAAAATTATGTCAGCTGAACAAGAAAAGAACAATTTTTTTTGTTTTAAACTTGTATTAATGAAAATCGATGAACACTCGTTTCAACAACAAAAACATATAAACAAAAGTTTTTAAAATTTTTCAATAAACAATGTTTTATTAAAAGGAACAGAAATAAATTGTTTATTATTTTTATCACTTTGCATATACTTATTTACCAATATTTTTCATCGTTCCTTCAAATGGAAATATTTCGTATTTTCGACATAGCGATTATATAATATTGTAATAAAACTTTATTTAAACCTAAAAGCAATGCACACGTTTTGTCAATATTGATCTAAAAATAAAAACAGAATCTTGTACTAAAAAATTCTCTGCTCCATATTTTTTTATACTTGCATATTACTTTTTCACATAAAGCCAGCATCTCTTCTCGATCGTGTCGTTAATAACCAGTACATGCATCGGGAGTCACGTGTCATGATTTTTTAAACCAGTCCCATTTTCTCGGGTATTGATCTCGAAGTAACTTTACACCTCGTTTCGATGCAAACCGTAGACTGCAGTAGTTCAATTAAACTTCGCCAATGGAAGCTTGCGTTAACTAAGTCTGATTTATACGAGCTGTCGTATTAGCGTAATCCAAGAACTGCATTTATTAATTTCTTAACGCAATCGTATCTCAGAGAGAGAGAAAATATTATAGTTAAAACACACTTATCCTTATTCCTATCATTTGCGTACCGCTATACAATTTTTGTACAGTACACGTATCAGAAAGAAACTTCTGAGATTAAAAAGAAAAGTTCCAGTGGAGAAAGAGAGAAAGAGAGAAAGAGAGGGAGAGAGAGCTGTGAGAGAGAACATGACAGCAGTCTTCATTTAAAAAACTTCCACTCGATAAGTTATAAAGGCAGCTCTTACAGCAACGTGAGGCTTTCTATAAATAATACAAGCTCAAATAAATGTCTCGACTATCGCGCTTGTATATGTATATTCCTCTTTAATCGACTATCAACAAACTTATCTGCGCAATTTAGATTTTCTTCCTTTTGTTGCTCATAAATGTAAAGTACATCGACTTGACGGTAGAAAAAAAAATGCGAAGATAGTTCTATTCGAGTCGAGCAGTTTATCTTTTCTACTGCGAAAATAAAGTGATCGAAGAAAAATATTTGAGCTCCTCATTTTCTCCAATTTCTTCATCGCATTATTTTTTTATAGGCGAACTCGATTGTCTGCACTACCTCGCTCTTTGAAAACTGTTATATATAAAGACTGTCAATATAGAAACGTGATATCTAAATGCATCAGAAGCATATTTCGATAAAATATCCGATGTATTCTGTTACAAAAAAATGTGATAATATTAAAGTTGAACATCGATCAAGACGTTTATATTTGCGACAAGACATAAAGAATGTAAAAGACGTGAAGTTGCTTTATTGAAGTATAATATTATGTTTTCAATATTATAATCTTAATTGGCTATTATAAATACAAAGCACTCTCAATTTATTCGATTTTTTTGAAAAAGACAGTAATAAAAGCTAAAGTACTAATAAAAAAATATTAAATTATTATAAATAATCTTAAAATAAATATTATTTTTTAATAAAACTGTTTCTTAATTTAGTTTTTGTTTAATATTAAATGCTTACGTCAATTTATTGAGTGCTTTATACTACAATCAATATTTTCAATAGACACAAGACATATTATTAGGCACAAAGAACCACCATGGAATATATGACACTTATCGATTAATTTTCATTTATTATACTTTTCGTTTAAGCTCATTTCTATCAATTTAATGCAGATTAATTTTAATCTCAAGTTAATTTACTTTTTATCTCTTTCTAATTCTTAGAAGATAAAAAGTAAGTTAAACCGAGATTAAAAGTTAATCTATATTAATAAAAATGGACATGAGTGATACAAGTCGATACGAACTTTGTTCTATTTTTTTTTGTATTCCATGAGTAACAAAAATATAATAGAATGACTTGTGTCGATTTGTGTCACCAAATGGAAGGCCTCCATTATGTATTATAATAATGTTTTCAATATGACGTTTTTTGAAATTAAATTACTGCGCACATAGCCTTCGGCTATCACTAAATGCGAGGTAACGCAAGCGAGCAAACTCGATAGTGTTTGCGGCACGGTCAGCCCGCAATCAGTGGAGTACATCAAACTATGGGCGGACGTGGCGCTGGGTCTGACGCGTGGCGTCAGTTTCGGTCGCAACACAAAAGCAGATTCAATATATAAAATATTAAATTCTTCGCGAACGATAGAGCACAACAAAATTCTTTCTAATGCACAATGACACGCATTAATTTAGATTCAGATATTCTACGAAGGGTATAACGATACCGTGAAACGCTCCGATCGATTATTCTATCTCATTAAAAATTTATCTGTCTCTACTGCAAATACCCGCGACTTTCGCGAATAAGTACTCCTAGTCAGAGAATTAATGACTGCAGGATTTAAAATATATTCATATTTTAGCTTTTTATTTAGTCTCTGGCGAAAATAAAAATCGGAGCGTAAATCGAAAAATAACAGAAATATAAACGAAACTTCTAGGAAGTGAAAGATGTTAACGCTTTTTTTACGCGTTTTGTTTCAATTTTTGCTTCCTAGAAGCTTCGTTTGCTTGTTACTCTCTCTTTATATCGACATACGCTCCGATTTTTATTTCTGCTAAGGGTTGAAAAAGAAAAAAAATTCATATTGTTCATTCATACAATAATTAGGCGGTAATCAAACTCAAGATTAAAATTTATCTATTTAACGATTCCGGTTTTATTAAACATTTATTAAGATATTTGGAAGACATACAAAAGGATGAGGGCGAAGTGGCGGAGCTATGAGATCAATTGGCCATTGAGATGCCAATGAACGTTCTATTGGGCAGAATGCTGGAAAATACAACCAGTAATATAGCAATGTAATCTGTTGCGAACTAATGCGAGGAATTGAACTATGCTGCAACAGAATCAGCGATTCTGCGGTTGCTGCGCTTGCCATCTAAAAAGAATAGGTATTTATTCCACCTCCATTCCCTCCACGTTCCACTCAACACTAATTAATCAAATATTAAACAAGTCGGAAACACGTGAAACGATCGTTCTCGGAATTCGTAATATCTGTCAATATTAGCTGCAAATAATGGTGAATTAACCATTTCCAGAACAACGTCACAAATAACGTCAAAATGATATTAAAATAAATAATTGGAAAAAAATAAAATTAAAATGAATTTATTTTGATTTTAATGTCAATAAATAGTCAAATTTTATAATAAAAAGTCAATATTTTGACCTTTATAACTTGATGTTTCTTGGGTTACTAATTGAAAAGTGAGTTTTAGTAATTATTTTGGAGTCACTTTGACGTCATTTCGAAAGCAAAAAAACAAATCGCGATAATGTTAAAATAACGTTCCCAAGCAAGTCACGATAACGTTAAAATGACATTAAAATGAATCGAAAATAATTAAAAAATGATTTTTAATGATCATTTTGGAGTCATTTTGATATCATATTGACTTGTTGTTCTGCTTGGGTTAAGATGAATTGTAAACGATTGAAAAATGACTTTTAATAATTATTATATTTTGGATTTAGATGTCACGATAATGTCATCATTTTAATGTTACGATGATTTATTGTACTACTTGGGATTGGATGTGCGTTGCTATCAGTGGATATTCCTTTTTCGTGACATTTCGAGAACCCCAGTAGTTCAACCGTAGATAATGGATGACTGTTCTGACAATGACAACGGCTCCAAGTTTACAGACATGGGGCACGGAGCCGGAACAAGGGGAACGCTATCTGAACCAGAAACGCTCGCGTGCCATTTCTCGCGAATTGTCTCGCGACGCAAATAGACGCCATACACGAGAAAGTGAGGGTGACATCGAGAAGACGTAGCTCGCGATCCGATCGTTACGCGTTATTTGCCGTCCACCTTTTCCTGTCTGCGTCTTTGTAAGAGTAATCGTTTTGTTTGTGTGCAGCTTAACAAAGTATATAGATTAAACCTAAGTAGAACAACAAGTCATTACGATGTTAAAATGATCATTAAAAGTTATTTTTCAATCATTTCTGATTTATTTTAATGTCATTTTGACGTTACCTTGACTTGTTGTTCTGCTTGGGAAATAAGGGAAGCATGAAATTTTCAAGTTTCTAATTACTATGTTACAGCTCCGAGAGAATCAGATCAGCTGCGACGAGAAAGGGATAACAACTGGAAGGAAGAGAGAAAGGATCCGTGCGCGAAACAATGTTACGATAACATCAAAATGGCAGTAAAATGTGTCGTTACTATCAAAGGGATACACAAAAGTCGACAGAACATCAAAATGATCTTATTTTGATTTTTAACATTAATAAACAGTCAAATCTTGTAACCAAAAATTATCATTTTGACTTTTTCTTAACTTACCCAAGCAGAACGACAAGTCACGATATCATCAAAATGACATTAAAATGATTTTGAAATGAGTAAAAAATGACTTTTAATTATTTTGGAATCATAATGACTTGTTCTGCTTGGGTATTGGTGTGTTCCTTGAATTATAATTAAAAAATGACTTCTACTAATTATTTTGGGACCATTTTGACGTCATTTTAAAGTAACTTCTGTTCCCAGGGAGAACAAGAAAGACAAAATAATGTCATTTGACGTCATACTGATCGATTATTGACCGAATTTATGTTATTTTTTATCATTATTTAATCAATTTAACATTATTTTGACTTTGTTGTTCTCCTTGGATTGCAGAAGAGGAAAAATGCGAAATACTGACGCAATTGAGAGGGCTTTATAAGAAATTCTCTATTATATATGTCTATATATTCTATATATATATATATATATATATATATATACATATATTCCAAATTATATTCTTTAGTCTCCAGAGTTATCTAAGGGTCTTATTTTAAAAATATTACATGCAAAAATATTATAGCATCTGTTATGTATATCATAAATTTTCGTATACGATATATTATCCAAATAGAATAACACATTAAAATAACATGAAAATAAACCGTGAATGATTAAAAAACGATTTTGGAGTTATTTGATATATCACGATTTTGTTCTGATTGGAGAGGTCTAGGAATCGACGGGCCCTCCAGTAGCGAACACTGTCGGACTTACCGGTCCCAGATTGATGAATCCATTCCTTAGCGCCACGCGATCGGCTACGTGCCGCTCCGCTGGCTGCCGCATCCTCACCAGGAACGTGTTGGTAAAGACCTCGGCGGTGGTCGTGCCGGCGAGGACGAAGAGCCCGATCACCGCAAGTAGTAGCATCGTGACGAGAGGCGGCCGGCGAGGTATAACGTCCAGGTATTCGTACTCCGCATTCGCGGGTTCGGGGATACTGGACGCTCGAGGTACTCGGCTACTCGAGGTACGCAACGGTACTACAATCTTCGTGGCGGCGGAGGCGGCGGTGGTGGCGGTGGTGGCGGCGGTGGTGTGACGATGTCGGAGGCGGTAGAGGAGGCGGTGATGGCGGTGGCAGTCAGTTCACAGACGTACGACGCGGACGATGAGGGATCGAAAGATGGGGAAAAAAGAGGGGAAAAAGGGAAAAGAAGAAAGAAAGGAAGCTCCTTCCTCTGGTCCCCGGGTGGCGGTGACGACCGCAGGGGTTGAACAGGGGCTGAACACACCGCTCGGCGCTATAACGCCGCGGCGGATCCGTCCAAGTGGAGGAGTTTGCAACGCGGATGAGCGACGCGGGCCACTGAATCCATCCGGAGCGGCGAAGTATGCGAAGAGAGATAATACCGCGTCTAGATACAGGCGCAAATATCACGCAAAAAATTTAAAAAAAATAGGAAAAGAGAGAAAGAGAAAGAGAGATGACGTTTAACGCGCAAACGCGAATTTCTCCGCGATGAGAATACGCGAAATTCTGGTATGACGAGAGACTTATCGCGTTTTTTTGGATCATGTTACATTCGATTAATGGAACGAGAGAACCGGAGAGAACTAATTAAATTGTGTCCCGATTGCGTTGCCGCGCCACGTTGAACAACCAAGTGGGCAGGTGATAAACCTCTCGCGTGACGTCACTCGATATATTGATTAAAACGGCGTCTCGACGTCGACGTCGACCAACATGGGAAATTTCGTAATCGCGCATGCGCGAATTTGTTTCTCGAGAATATAATCGCTAAATAAGAAAAAAATTTATTCTAAAAAAAAATTAAAAAAAAAAAGAAATTAGAGTACGAGTCTCGCAAAGAATATCTGAACGCGAGATAAATATAACGGTTAATATCTTGCTAGAGAATATATAGATATCATTTAATATTATATCAAATAATACATATTTGCCAGAAAATATATATATTACTAATTGACGTCATTTTTTATAAAAGATGTCTAATTCTTATTCCAAGTCTTCCTAAAAATTGCAAGCGGAAAGCATGATTATATAAATATTATATTGATTAAAAATCTAAAATAGCTATTTGTGCGAAAATTCTATTTCTTATAAATCTTTTAGGAAAAGTGAACTTTTGAGGAATTAACAACTAAAAAATAATTATTGTATCATTCCTGCATACAAGTTTTTTTTCTAATAAGTACAAAGTTCTTTTCTTGTTTCAATTCTAAATGTTTGTTTTTGTATGTCACCATTTTAAAATATTGTGGAATTCAATCAGTTTGAATTTTCTTTTTATTAATTTATTTGTTTCGCGAACAGAGTTATATTGTAATTTTCGTTTGTCGCGCAAACTTTTTCTTATACATTTTCAAGCGAAAAAATTTCCATCAAAAACTTGTGGAATTCAATAGCTTATTAACGTATTTGTTCCAAATACGTTATATTTTAATTTTCGTTGTCGCGCGGACTTTTTTTCATTAGAGCAAAAATAATGAGAAAACGTCTGTAACAAAAAAACAAAAATTTACAAACAAAATTACAATTCAAACCAATTAAAACAAATATGTTAAAAAAAAAGTTAAAGCTATCGAACGGTTTTTTTTTATAAAAATATTGAGACTAAAACAAAAATATTTAGAAAAAAAAAGTAAAAGAGAAAAATTTTATGCTCGTTCCAAGCGAAATAAAACTTCTGGCATTCCGGGCGTCGTTTTACCAAACAACAATTTCAATTGATCGAATAATGCGTTTGTATTTATATTTCTTTTTACCTTCAATCCTTCGATCCTTTCAAAATCACAGCAGCTCCATTATTTCATAACGTAGATATAAATCCTGTTGTATTTGTAACGTTGTTTCAGGATAAAGGATGATCATACACACAATTACATATCGTTTAAAAAATATAATTTGTTACAACATATCTTACATCCTAAAGATATCGACTTGATTAAATTTTTTTAATAAACTTTACATCCTTTCTCATGTGTGAAACACGTTGCACATCTAAATGATACTTTTCACGTATTACATCTCTTAAAATTTCTTATCTAGATAGATTCGCTTTAAATTTTAATAAAAACGACAAGTTAGTTGCAGGAGCCCGTCACAATATACATAAATGTCTGAATAAATCAATCATTAAAGTTAAAAGTATAACAGACAAACAATATACATATAATGAGAAACGTATCTCTCGTACAAATAACGAAAAAAAAGGAAAAACTTAATATATACAGGAATCTTCATAAAATATTGAATTCAATAATCGCGAGTTTCCCAATAAAAAGTTTGAGCTGAATGCTTTATATCACTGACAAAATGGCACGTATATTCGATAATAATTTCTGTATATACTCGATATCGTATATGATCAATTATACACTTACTTTTATAATACGCAATTATAATTCCTGTTCTTGTAATTTGATTTGTTTACAACATGACGCCACAAAAATATTATAAACAAATTTCATAAAATTCTAAAATTTAATTCATCTATATCGCAATTTCCAGATATATCAAATTACAAATACTTAGAAAAATGATCTGTTGCCGCGCAATATGTAATCTGAAAAAAGAAATCAATTTAAATAAGAAAAGTTTAATATTTTTTTTTTTAAATAACAGAGAATAAACAAATCTTTACAAAGCAATTAATTCTAATTAATAATTTTTTTATTTTCATAATAGAATATTTTGATTTCGTTCAGATGTATTCGGATTGTAAGATAAACTTTTATGGGCTTTCTGTAATAAACCTAAGTTCTAAGTCTTAAGAAATTGACCAATCATAGTCAAATGTGAGAAGAATAATTGATTTTGATCGGTTAATTAAGACTACTGTTTTCCAGTAAAATATACTGGTAATATTATGTAACACATTCCGTACTTTCCAATTATACTTAACACAAATCGACACAATTGTATACAGCTAAAATGCTGTACGTCATTTTATATTACATGATATTCGTCATCTTATATCATTTCACGAATTTTTACATTTCATTACTATTTATTTTTTAAAGAGTGGTTCTCCGAAGAGGTTTTAAGATTATATTCAGATATATTTGAACATAGATATACCAGACCTTTTTTATTTCACCCTGATGGTAAAATAAAAAAGCAATGTTTTAGTTACAAGTCACCACTGTGTTGTATTACTGCGTCATACAGTATATAAGGGTGTTCTGTTGCTGGAAAGCAAAAGTAATGGCTTATTGAAGAAAGGCCATTAAATCTGAGTGGTTAATGACAGATTCTCTGCTGCAATTTGATAACAGTATCGAAAAAACAGTATCGAAAAAACAACTTTCTTAAGTAACAAAATTTAAACGTTGTTCGTGAAATGTCACGTAAAAACGTGTGACATAATTACGTTTTTGCAATTTTATATATTCACGAATGTATTCTGAGGTCAGATTATACTTGTACGTATAATTATAAATATATTTGCGCAACTTCTTTAAAACGTTCTACAATATAACATTACAATAAGATAATGATAACGACGATCACAGAGAGACGGTCTTTTGTCGTTGGAAGTACAACATTCATTTGTTTCGACGTTTTGTCGATATTATACTCAGGAAATCACTTTCTTGTAATAAGTACAATAGACGTAAAGCACCTGCAGTTTCACCTATTGATATTATTTGTAATCTTCGTGAAGTGTAACTTTCTTCTCGCCTCGAGCCTCGCTACGGCCTGCAACCTTTTTTTTTCGATCTCTTCCGCGGAACATCGTGTTGTGGGTTGTGAACCAGATTTTTTTGCCGTTTCCCGTGTATCGTTTTTTATATTACCGGTAGAATGATGCTTAACGAAATGATTACCATCGCTTTTTACCGCGCACCTGTTAACATCGGATCCACGCATTCGATTCATGCTATGTATTAATGAAATTGCTTTATTCTCAGCCTTACAATTTGTAACAATCGGTTTTGTACTTACGGAGGCACGCGAGCCTTTAGCACTCGCGTCCCGATTAACAGGTTGTTCTGACAAGCTCTTAGTTTTAAAAAATTTTCTATTCTGTAAGTAGTTAGCGTTAGATGTTTCAGGCTTTGTCATAGGTTTAAATGAGTCAGTGGATTTGACTTCCGACTTTAACGGCGCATTAGTCAAATGCTTATAATTGGCTTGGACTTTTGTGCTATCGTTTTTATGAGTTGAGGATACATCAGATTTCGGAAGTAATTTCTCTTCCTCAACGCACGACGCTAACCAATCGTCAAAAGAATCATTATGAAAATCATACAAATCTACCGTATTACTTTTTAGCAATTTTTTGTTATCACATGACTTTCTGGCAAAGGAACGTATTGTATTATTATTATTATTTGGACATGATTTATACGTATCTTTACTGTTCTGCACTGCAGAGTGTATACTAGAGTTTGCATCTCGTTTCAACTTTGAGTATGTCTTTAATGAACTATTGTCCCATAAGCGAACACTTCTTAATGGATTTTTAGAATTCTCACTGGAACTAGACTGTACAGATGTCTTATTGGATACGTCATTTTTGCATGAATCTTCTTTTTTGACCTGCAATTGAGTAGAATTCCCTCTTTCCAGCAAATTGAATTTCTTTTCTATCTCTTGAGTGCACCTAATTATATCATCGTCTACAGAATCATCAAATAAATCGTCATAAGTTCCACTAGTTTCCTTTTTGCTATGATCATTTGTTTCTTCGATATTATCATTTCTCTGTTCGTTATCGTTATTGCATTTTTCGACGCTATTCTGCTTGTCTTGAACTTTTGACATTTCTTCTTTGTCGCTTATGTTCGTTAACGTTGGCACTTCTTTCTTTTCGACACAATCATTCGAATGATTATTATCATTTTGCTTTATAACTCTCATTCTTTCGTTCAATGCCTGCAGCTCAGCTGCAAATTGTCCAATGTTTTCTATGTTTTCCATCTTGATAGTTTTTCTCTTGAGTGGCTTGTACAACAAAGGCGAGTTCGAAATCCTCTTCCTTTGCAGCAGTTTAGTACCCTTTGGAGTTTCACAGTGGACATTCTGTTTCTTGCTGCTGTTCTCAGGAGTCCTGCTCATAGAACTTTGCCAATCCCATGCAACCTCGTTACCACCTTCCTGAGTGAACGTAGGTAAGATC